TATATATATATATATATATATATACATATATATATATATATATATATATATGTATATATATATATATATAGTTTTATTTAGTTAAATATATTTGGAGTGTAACGTACCTCTTTGTCTCTTTGTTTTCTCCTCTCTTCCTCCAGCCGGAGGTCTTCCAGAGCCTCCTCCCTCAGTTTTTTAATATGTTCTTCACTGCAGCAAAAAAAGCAAAAAGAAAGAAATAAAAAATCGAGTTCTTTACGCTCAGCTGCTGCAGAGGCCTTATCAGCAAGAAAACCATACGAATGAATGCTTCGCCTGAAGTGTATATACACCCCGGGGTATCTGCATGTGTGTCTATTGCGTCTTACTCGATTTGTACTTCTCTTGCATCTTTAACGATTTTAACGAAGAAAGATCCTTCTTTTTCGTGGTTGTGTGCTTTGTGTTTATTTGTATATCTCACAGCATCAAGTCTGAGTATCTCTAATACTTCTGCTGCATTCGCAGCTTTCAGCAGTTCATCTTTGCAGTTGTCTACGAGAGAAAGAGCAAACTGAAAAAGAAATACATCTCCTGTTTCAATTAAAGCCTCCATAAAGTCAAACAAAGCTTCAAAAGTTAATACATGTACATTCAACCCAACAAACCACTTGCTTGCATACGCCTCAGCACAAGCCAACTCCTTCAGGTGTGAGCCCAGCTCAGGTTGTCGCTGATCTAATAGTTTCTGCATAACACGAGCATCTCGTACATATGCTACAGGAGCTGCTTTGAAATACCCCTGTAGATACAGCCGGTGAAGACCCACACACAGACGCAGCACGTCAGATGCAGGCAACACCAGCAACAAAAAAGAAACCACAAAACCCAAACCCTGATGATAATCTAATAACTCGGGCCATAGAGAAGACAACACCTGAACAAACAAACACACAAACAACACACAAACACGAACACATATATACACGCATCATACGCCTTGCATACAATCCCGCAACAGGAGCGAATCCACCTCGCTTTCCTTCAACCGGTATAAACACAAAGCACACACACAGCAGCTGACTCCATACAGAAAAAATTTATTTCATACAACATGAATCAATGGCCGCATGCAGCAGCAGCAAGACAGAAAGCATATCGCGTCATCGCCGCTTTTAGGAGTGAGTAGGGATCAATGAAGCTGTATTATGGGTAACAGAATTTAACCAGGTTTAATAGGGTTTATTAGGGTTTAAAAGGGTTTAGAATCTAGGGTTTAGAGTTTAGGGTTTAGGGTTTAGGGTTTAGGGTTTGACCTCAACGAGCTGTTGTCTGCATTCTTCAGACTTGAAGGTTCTTTCGGCATCGAGCTTAAATATACGTTTAGCTGCTTCATCATCGCAATTGGGTTTGAGAGAGATTTGTTCTATTGTATCTTTTCCGTGTTTTTTGTCTAGCAGCTGCAGCAGCCGCTGAGCTCGCTGCAGCAACTCATCAGCAGACTCGGGTCTGAAGAAGTTAGCGTTGCGGTTCAGCAGCGGCGCCTCCTTCTCCTTCTCCCAGAACTCACTGCTGGCTATCATCTTTTTGAAATGAATCTAAAAAATATATAATAGTAAAACGAAAGCAAGAGAGGAGGTAGAGGCAGAAACAACCAAAGAAAATCCTGCTGATGTGGCGCACCGAATGCACGAGAAAACCCCTTGCAAGCTGTGAAAAGTTGTTGAAATGTCAAGGAGAGAAAAAAGCAGAATGAAGAAAACAAATGTAAGAAAACAAAAAGAAGGAAAGAGAAAGAAGAAAACAAATCCCCCAGGAAAAAGTTAAACTGCGCACACGAAAAAGCAGCGATAAACAAATGAAGATCTGTCTAGACACCCCAAATGCCACTCTTTCTGAACTCCTCCGCAAATATTAATTCACGGAAAATTCAAAATGGCAAAAAAAACGAACAAAAATGTCGGCTCCTTAAAACCCTCTTTCAATGGCGGCTGCATGCAACCAAGAAAGCCAGCAGTCGTCATTGAGGCGGGAGCTGTTGTTTCGAGTCTTTTTTCGCTGCAATTCTGCTTAAAATATCAGAAATTACACTCATTTCAAGCTATTTATCGACTTTTCTGCGAGATTCAGGTGTACAGACACCCCAATATCCTTCGCCGTTGACGGTCAACGAGTCGTTGAAATTCGGCGTTCATTTCTTCTTTCTTTGCTTTTTGATTCCTCTACAGTTTGTGTTTAAGCAAAATAAACGACTCATAATACAAGTTATATTATTCCATTTCTTCTTGTTTCGTATTTTCAAGCCGCTTTCCCCTCTTTGCCCGCCCCCCGGGCGTATGGTTGAGTCTGTTGCCTCTGACAGCGAGGGTTTTTGTGTGTGTATCTACCGCAGCAGCTTCATTCACTTCTCCTGCAGTATAATTATGCATTGCATAGTGATGTAGACTCATTAAAAAAGAATACAAATCCACACAAAAACCTCTCTGTATCCCTCTTCTCTGTCTCTCCGTTGCCGAAGGAAGATGAATTCCTCTCCTGCAGCTCAACTCGCATCGGCTGGCGCTGACTCCAGCAGCAACAGGAACCAACAGCAAGGGTTCCCTGCCGCTGCAGCTGCTGCTGCTGCAGCTGCTGATACTGCTGCTGCTGCAGCTTGTGTACCTCGTGAGGAGAGCTCCAGCATCTCTTTTGACTTAGAAGGAAGGAGAATGGGGCGGCGCTGTCTCTACAGGGCGTTTGTCTGCCCGATGCTGCTTCTGTTGATGCTGGGTTTATTCTCTGTAAGTCTTTCTCTTCTACATTTCCCCTTTTTTTTCTTTTACGCGTTCTTTGTTTGTGTGGCGTCGGCAGTGTATGCTGCGATGCAGCTCCTCGCTGCACCCCACTTAGTAGAGAGCAGCAACAGTGTTGCTGCTGATGTTCGTGCTCATTTCTTCCCCTTTAGTGCTGCTACTGCTGCTGCTGCTTTTGCTGCTGCTGCTGCTGCTGCTGCTCCTGCTTCAGGGGGCGCGGTGTTCCAGCCTCAGTATGTCTCGGCCTCTGCCCGAGATGGACGGCTGGTTCTTCGTTGCGAAATACATCCGCCCGGAATGGTTTCAGGTGAAGTCCACAGCTTAACAAGCATAGAAAGAGACAAACTCCCTCTTTCTCTCTCTTGGGTTGTCTCTCTCCCTGCCTCTCTGCCTCTCTTGCAGAAACGATGCTGAGGGTTTAGGGTTTACATGAATTGTTTCTCTCTCTGCCTCTCCTCCTCGCTCTCTCTAAGTTGCAACACCGGTGTTGAGGGTCTAGGGTTTAGGGTTTAGGGTTTAGAAGGTTGTAGGCCGGGGAGGAACTTTTCTGCTGCTGCGAGATCAGCTAGCGGCCACAGCGCCCCCTCTTATTTCATGTTTAGGGTTTAGGGTTTAGGGTATATTTCAGCATTTAGTTAAAATATAAGAGTGATGCTCAGCTGCTTGCTCTTTGTTTTGTTGCTGAGCTGTCGAGACACCTGAAACGTCTCCTGCGGTGTTTTGGCGCGCAGTGGACCCTCACGATTCTCATTTTCTTAACTTTCATCATTTTGTCCCAGCTGAGTTGCTGTAAGCCAGGCCACACATATATATGTATACTGTGTATATAATGTATAGTGTACATATATATATATATATATATATATATATATATATATATATATATATATATATATATATATANGTATATAATGTATAGTGTATATATATATATATATATATATATATATATATATATATATATATATATATATGCACATATGTATGTGTATATTTATGCGTATGTTGCTTTGTTTCTCTTTGATTTATACCGTGTCGTGTGTCTGCCCATTACCTCTCTTTTTTGGAATTTAATTTTTTTGTTTTTAATTTCTGCGAATCAAACTTTCGTCTGTGGGCGGAGCAGCCGTAGGCCCACTGTCGCCAAACCCTAAACCCTAAACCCTAAACCCTAAACCCTAGACCCTAAAAGGTGGACTCAAAACCCTAATCCCTCCCGCTTTTGTTTACTGCTTTTTTCTTTTTCAGTCCGCCCTGAAGACTTGAATAAATTCGATAAGACAATGAGAACACAAGCCCCCACTGCAGCGGGAGGAAAGGCTGGGGGCCCTGCAGCTGCTGCTGCCGGCCAGAAGCCGAAAGCAGCAAAGAATGCAGCACCGCCCAAAAAAAAACAACGCGATGGTAAAAGTAAAAAATAAATTCGTTCGTGTACAAATTTTTTTTCTTTTTTTCCTTTTTTTTTGAGTCATTTTACACATTTCCTCGCAAACTGACGCCGCACACAACGGCCGTCCGTTGCGGTGTATAGACTGTGGGATCTTTTTCAGTTAATATTTGTAGAGATGCTGCATATTTATTTAAATATATTTAATTATATCAATGTAGGTTCATATTTCCTAGGATATTTATCTACACTTATATATAGACAAACAAAGACTGTGGGGTCTTTTTCTCTTAATATTTGTAGTGGAAATGTAAATTCTATCGAAATATATTTAAATATACAAATATGTATTTACACCAGATTTAATGAGTGGGTTATCCATCTCTACTTGATTGGGTGAAAACAACACCTGTATAAACACCATATTTAGGCAGTATTAAACCTGCATACATGCCTGATATATATATATATATATATACATATATATATATATATATATATATATATATATATATATATATATATATATATATATATATATATATGAAGGAATGTGTCTGTATGTATACCTTATTTAGCGTGTAGTATGTCTGTACAAACACCAGATTTAAGGAATAATATACACGTATGTAGACAGGATTCAGGGGATAATATACCCGCATATACGCTTGACTTAATGTATAATGTGCCTGTGTATAGATGAAACGCTATAAAATCCTGTTCTTATTCTGCTACCAATATGTATGAGAATCTATTAAAAAAGTGGTGATTTGTTATATTTTAGTGTTACGGGTAGAATATGAATAGGATTCATATTCCAACATTACACGAAAAATATACGGCCACTAATGCCTTGTACGGGTGACGCACTACAATGTTTCCTCCCCCCGGCAAGTGTTTGAGATGCAGAAAAAAAAGAAACTGTGCTGGAAACATGCAAACTGCAGAGGAAGCTGTGAGATACAACAAAGGTCCATCGACATGACGTTGGGTGCGCGGCGGGCCTGCGCGTCAGGCCTTGATTTTCTACTCGTTCACAACGACGCTCACACGCCCGGAGGAGCGCAGAGCAATCCTGAAGATGTTCGGCTGTTTCCCACGTAGCCGGGTCTTCAGGGGCGCCACGCCACCTAACTAAGTACTGTGCTGTGTTGGTTTCTCACTACCTTTGGACTATAATATATTCTGCTTTCTTAAATATCAGTGAAACTGCCAAGTGTATCGCCAATTGGTAGCCAACCCACCGCCGCCTCATGAGAAATAAAAACACGAGACGGTACGAAATTAGCTGCGACAGGTGGGAGGGAGTGCTGAGCGATATGCAGCGCTACCGATCCTCCCTGTGATCGTAAACGGATCGGAGAACCACGGTTCGAATTTTATGAACAAGTTTTGTGGTGGAAGATGGCTACTCTAAAGCTATACTTTTTCACTGTTCATAAAGGGAGCATATAGTTGATGTGAATCCGCGAAGGATTTCTGCCTATTTAGCTTGCAGTATATGTGTTTGGGCTCTATCGCAGAAACGGCAGAACATTTTGTTCATGGGAGGTGTTAATGTGGGAGATAGTTGACCCACAATCTCCATGTTTACTGCGGTGAAGAGATTCTCGCCAATCACAAATTCAAAGGGAATGCGTTCTGTTTATGAATGGGCTGTATATATGCAAGCTCCAGTGCGGGAAGGAGTTGTTTCCACTCACGCTCGTCCGATTGAATGCATATACGGATCATGTGCTCGAGCGTTCAGTTCACCGTTGCTTACTGGCTGAGGGTTATAGGCATTAGACATCACACCTTGTGTACTAAAACGAATACATAGCTGATGCCACAGGGCTGATAGCGGGCACGTCTGTCCGACAGAAATTCGATATGTTCCCATGATGTGCTCCGTATAAAAAGGTTTGGTGTTGGGAATGAAATACATCACTTTGCTGATAGGGTCAACGATGACCAAAACCCCATCATGGCCATCTGCTGCGCTTGGAATATCAATGATGAAATTCAACGAAAAAGGATCCCGGCGCCGGGTTAGACTCAGAAGCGGCTGAAGCAAATCGGGTGGTCATTCGGGGGTAGCTGCAGAGCATTTGCAGAGCGTGCAGGAAGCCACATACGAGTTCGTATATGCGTTCATACCAGGCCAGTAGAAATGACGACGTAGAGATTGAAGAGTCTTTTTCTCGCCGCAGTGGCCCCCCCTGACATGGTCATGGTGCGTCTGCATGAGCCTGTTAAGGAACTGAGGAAACTGCGGGACACAGATTTTCCACAAACCATTTAGACACACTCGCAAGTAAGGGAATTGGAAACTAAACGGCAGACGACGCTGACCGATCTCAAACACGGCCGGGAATCCCTTTGCATTTGCGGCGACTCTGTAGGGCTTGTGGAACACGGGGCACTTTTCGTAGGCTGCCACCCAGGCTTGGGGTGCCAGAGAATGGGAGGCATCTGTACTGGAGGGAACTAGAATCTGAGTTCGGGACGGCGACGGTGCAGCTGGAGATGACGTAGATGGGCCTGAGGAAGAAGGTTCCGATACTGGGTTTGTAGGAGAGGGTGGGGCAGGGGGATTCGATGAAGTGGCATCGCCGAGAGATACGGAACCGTTGGTCTGCTTGTTTGGTGGGGGGTGGCGTTGGTCTGCGGCATCGAGACAATCCTGCCGACGTTCTGTAGTAGACGAAGAGGTCGAGGGTGGTGCTCTTGATGATTGAGCGGGAACGGAGACTTGCTGTCTTTCGCGATAGAAACCTTGACAAACACGCGCATAAGTAGGGTTGCTATTGGAGGTGCTAGTACGCGAGGGGGTCGAGGCTGGTGTTGTTTGTGGGTGCGGAGGAATGGAGGGTTGCTCTCTGTCGCGATAGGAACCTTGGCGAGAGCCCGCATAATCAGCATTGGAACTGGAACTGCTGGTACGCGAGGGAGTCGAGGGCGGTGGTGTTGGTTGGCGTGGGGGACTGGAGGGTTCCTGTCTTCTGTCGCGATAGGAGCCTTGGCGAGCATGCGTGTAATTAGCATTGGAACTGGATGCGCTGCTACGCGAGGGATTCGTGGGCGGTTGTGTTGGTAGGTGGGCGGGTAGGGAGGGTTGCTGTCTGTCGCGACAGGGACGTTGGCGAACACGCGTGTGACTAGCATTGGGATTGGAAGTGTATGCTGTGCTCGCTGATTCGGCCCGGGATTCTTCAGGCGGTAACCTGTTTGATGAGCGGTAATTTCGACGCGTTTCAGCAGTTGGAGCCTGACGAGGATCTGGATGATCAAAAAACTCTGCTCTAGCACGACGGATCTGGGAGAAGAGTGAATCTCGTCGATCAAGAAGTGAAACAAGGACATCTGCTGCCTCTCTCCAAGAACGGAAACGATCATATCCATGATCTGACAAACGTCGGACTATTCCCGGTGGAAGATTCGCTAAGAAAATAGGAACAAGCAACGAGGAATCTGGTATGGGCCCTGAAAGGAGGCAATTCGAGAAATCTTCTACATAAAGTTGTGCATCTCCTTTCCAAGGTACATTAAACAATCGCTGTGCATGGCGCCGAGGCGATCGAGTAGAGAAATGATACAATAACGCCGACTTGAGCTTTTCCCAATCAGAGAAATCAAACTTTTCTTCATATAATGTCAACCAAACATTCAGAGCTTGTCCCCCCAAATAATTTCGGAGTCCATGTCCCCACTGGGCAACGGGATAGCCTGCAGTTGTGAATGCCTTTTCTGCTAAATCGAGGAAAGCAGGCATGCGTTGCCCGTGTTCTATATATAAAGTATTGGCCCGTTGTGCAGAGAATATGGGTACCGCCACGGGGCCATAGAGTGGAGGGGTACTACGCGCTGACGGAGAAGGAGATGGAGCATCCTTGTGCGTTCGTACAGGTACTGGATGAAACTGAGGCTCCATACTAGGGTGTTTCAGTCCCCGCGAGCACGATGCAGCAGCCGGAGTGTTGGAATTTCTCCGGCCTACCGGCCTTGAAGGGCAGGTGGTGTTTGAACGTCTATCCACCGCGTTGTTCATTGTTCTTTTTTAAAAAATTGTCGAGGGTTGATGCTTGCTTAGAAGAACTCCCGGCGGAGGCAGAGCGGGCTGGCAGTGATGGACTTTGGCGCTGCAGCAGAAGGGGACTGCAGAAACTCAATCGATATTGCAATAGATGATGAAATCAGCGGTTGCTGAAGGGGCAGGGAGGGGTCGAGGGGCTTTATACAGATACACCAGGAAAAGACCCTACACCCTGTTGGAGGCAGAAACTCAGCCAATCGGATCTGGTTGTACCACGGGACTTCACCGGAGCCACCGAGATTCTACTGCGTGTTCTTGGCCATCTACTTGCTGACTAAACTGAACCTTTGTTTCAAAAGATGTACAAAGATAACTGGGTTCAGCTGAGCGGTCACTGCTTTGCCTTCAAGAGAGTAGGTCCCCTTGTCTGATCAACAACACAAACCCGCTTAGGAAAAGCAGAGAAGAACATAAACTGGCTACTGGGGGCAAGACTGCTGAGGCCTTCACTATGTTCTCCGAAGGTTCCTCAATTTGAATGCCCTGGGTTTCAGCAGGGCACTTCCAGCTTTACCGGAGATATGCAAACTACGAAAAGTGTTTATACGTAAATATGTACATATATATATCATATGATTTTTAATTGAAATAGTTGACAAGAAGTTTACTTCATTAAATCCTAGTGAAAAAAAATCCAATAACGTAAGAAAGGATGGTCTTCTCAACAGGCGTCAAAAACGAAAGGTCTTTAGTCGTCGGCCGAATGAGCTGAACCGGTAGCTAAAGACGAAATATAAACAAGAGATTATATATTACCAAAATTCCAAGAAACATTGAGATACAAAGTCCCGAAGGAGCAGCAGAATGCCCATCTACTGGGCATCCTATGTTTGTTGTCAGTGTGCCCGGTCGCCGACAGCATACAGAAGTTGTACAGCTCTGGTTGAAGGAGCAATGGAAATATCATGAGTAACATTCGGTCTTTATTCTGTTACCAATACGTCTGAGAATCTATAAATAAATTACTCTATTAATATTCTAAGCTTACACTAAAATGTAACGGAACTCATACCTTGTACGGCTCGTGAACGACACCAGCAGCCCAAGGCCCGCATTTGTTGCAAGGGATTACTGCACAAATTTTGTTGAATATTACAATTAAACGGCTTGTTAAGCAGCATATTGAGCCAATTAAATACAGGTTTCGTTATCTAATAGATTAACTTCTTCTTCGTTGTACACCAAGCAGCCTTTGCCACCGTCGGCCTGGGGGGGCCCCCCCGCCTCGCGCAATATGTTTCACTGCTCTTCCCCCTTCATTTCTTCTTTTTTGTTATAATATTGATAATTATATTAGTATTAGTGACTATAATAATACTTTGGTGCATCGACTTTCGTTGTACTCCTTCTACAATGCGGGAGTTCCTCACGGCGTGGCCTTGTTTTTCTTTTTTTGCATGAAGATGTAAACACGCCAAACACCAAATTCGGCTGAGTCCGCAGGCGCGGTATCTCTGGCCTTTTTTTTATTTTATCCCAATTGTTTTCCCCGGATTAACTGATTTTGCTGTTTATGCAGCGGAAAAGACATGCTGACGGGGCCCCCTTTCGGTGGGCCCATTGGCCGCTGCTGCTGCTGCTGCTGCTGTTTGCAGCAGCACGAACAGCAGCTATCTCCACAGCTTGGGAGTCCCGGGACCCACGGAGGAGCCTGTTTGCCCCTCCCCCCGCCTTCGTCTCCTTGCGCGCCTCGCCCGTCGGCAAGCCGTTCTCTTTGATGGCTGGTGCTCCCGCTACTGCAGCTAGAGGCCAGACGGTCGAGTGTCTGTACACCGCAGCTGGCGGCCTCAGCAGGACGATGAGAGGGAGACAAAGAAATTGCAGCGATCCTTCAAGGAGTTCGAGGAGATTTGGGTTTTCTATTCTCCTCAATCCAGACGCAGCTACAAACAGTCAGCAACTCGAGCAAATGTCCGTACAGATTCAACTGGTGTAGTTGTAGTTGCAGAAGCAGCAGTATCAACAGCAGCAGATGCAGCTACTCCTGCAGTAGAAGCTGCGGCGCCAACAGCAGCAACAGCCGTCGTTTGGGTTTCCTCCTTGCTTGCGGCAGCTTGTACGACTACAGGCCTTTTCCCTGGGGTATACAGACATTCGTTTGTGTGTTTTTATTTTATTTTCATATTTTCAGGCATATGGCTGCAAGCCGCCAGTTTGCGCGTCTGTGGGCAGAGAGCGGCGTGCAGAAGGAGGTCCGTCGGAGGTGTCGACACACCCGGAGGGTGACGCGGGGCCAAGGGGGGAGGCGAGAGGTGCTGCGGCGGCGGCTGCAGCAGCGGCTGCTGCTGCGGCAGCAGAAGGAGGAATGCAGCAGAATAAACTGGAGCGAACCCCTGCAGCTTAAGCCCCAGCATTTGAAGCGGCTTATAACGGCCCTCAAAGAGAACAGCCAGGCAGAAGAGGAGAGAGAGAAGCAAGAAAAAGAAAATGCAATAAATAAAGCAATGTTAAAACAAACAGCACAAACAACTCAAAGCCCTCCTGTCGTTACATAAACAAATAAGCGCTTGAACACTACCAATATCCACGCACACACACACGGACAGACGCCCTTCTCTCTGCGCTCGCATGCATTTGCATGCAGTTGCATGCGTTTGCATGCAGCTGAACGTCTTACATCGACTCGCATGCACGGGCCTGCATGCATCTGCGTGCAAGTTGCACACAGACCGGTCTGCGGCTTTATAGACAGCAGGCAGCACCAGAAGCTGCTGCTCAACGTACGAGTGTGTGTGAATATATATATATATATATATATATATATATATATATATATTTTCTAATGTACAAACCGATAGGCAGCTACATTGGCGCTGCTGTTTATTGGACTTCTCCCCTCTTTTCGTTTAAATCTTTTTGTTTAGTTTCTCTAGTTTAGTCGTGTGTAAACGCTTCTCATCAGCCCGAACTGTCGAGACACTTCAGATGTACACAAGCTGAAGAGGAGAGAGCGGCCTTGGCCTCTCTTCGCTTTCCTTTCTGAGTGCGTTCTACTGCCTACTGCTGTCTGTACACCTCACTAGCGTTAACTAGTGTCTACTGTCTGCATACCTCAATAAATTCTACTGTCTGTACACGCGAACATCAAAGGGCATCTTCAGTACTGCCTACTGTCTGTACACCTCAGCCTTTAAAGGCATATTCAGCTTCATCACTACTATCTACTGTATGCACACCTGAACGCCAAAAGGCATATTCAACTTTTTCTCTGTTAGTTCTACTGGCCTTCGCCTCTGACGGATTGCCCCACGGCTCAAACAACACTCTTTAATGTCTCTCCACCCCTTCATTCCCCCCCCCCCNGCCTCTGACGGATTGCCCCACGGCTCAAACAACACTCTTTAATGTCTCTCCCCCCCTTCATTCCCCCCCCCCCGTTCTCTTGAGGTGCTGCTGCTGCAGATGCAAGTCTTCGACTTGCTACTGCAGCAGCTGTTGATGCTGCAACAGCCGCTGCAACGGCAGCCGCTGCTGCAGCAGCAGCTGCAGCAGCAGCTGCAGCAGCCCTTGTGCTGCTTGCAGCGCAAGATGTGCGTGCATGCAACTGCCTGTTGGAGTGCTATGAAGGAGAGGAATAGAAGAAGAAAGAAAGAAATAATTAAAGAAGAACACCTCAACCGTAAATAGTGTGGCACTTGCCCATGGTGCTCTTTATGTGCAGCCGCTTGACGTTATTCCAATTCTTCTTCAGCAGAGACACAAGGAAGTTGATAGCCATCGTCAGGTTGTAACGCACCTGTACGTACACCCCAAATGCAGCAACAAAATCCCAAACCATCTAAACAAAACAAACATCCTCAACCTCCTGCAGCACGCAAAACCCTAACAGCCGCCGCTGCAACCAAAGTCAACAACCAAACCCTAAACCCTAAAGCTTCTGAGCGCTGTCTGTTTACTTTACCTGGGCCTCTGTCATCTCCACGTTGGCCACGGCAACGCCCATGCAGAGGACTTTCTTGAGTTGGAATTTAACAGAAGAGCGGACTTCAAGGATTTTGTCTTCAATTTTGTCTTGGTGTGTAATCAGGGTGGGGAACTTGCCCGCCTTGTTAAGACCAGGACCGAGGTAACGCGGGATCTGAGGGATCAGAGCCTGAGAGGCCAAGAAGGCGTCGTATCTAAACAACCCACACACAAGTGCAACAAGCCACATGTGTTTGTATCTGTATATTTTCCTAATATACACTATAAATATATGTATGTACACGCAGTGTACAGACAGAACGACGCCTGAAGGAGGCAAGCTATGCTGTGCAGAGAAAAAAAAAAGTATAACACACTTGCGGGCCAGCTTCTTGACAATCTTTTTGTTTTTGTTGATCTTCTTGAGGGCTTCAATATCCATACAGTCGAGACCCAAGGCCTTCGCCTCCTCCATGTGCACGGCATCACCTATCACACATACCTGCAAATACAGCAGAAGACAGAAGGCCGCCGGAGATCTGAAAAGGGAAACGAGACACAAACTAAAGCATGCACAGAGGCATGTACAGACAAACAGGCAGAGCCAAACACAAACAAACACAGAAACAAGCACGAGAAAGCACCTACCTTTGACTTGGCACGGGGCACGTGCGGCAGCCGCACAGAACCCGAGAAACGCTTGTCTCTCTGTGTGTCATAGTCCTTCAGGCCTGCAGCCAAGCAGAGACAGAGAGGCACAACAACACAGAATTGCGTGAACGCGAACAGCTTGAGCAACGCAAGGACCACAGTGGAGGAGGCACAGGAAGAATTAGCTAAGATGAGCAACATGAGAAAAAGGTACGGCATGCATGCAGATGTTGAAATGGAATGTATCGGGAGTGATCTGCCTACTGATCTGCAGCTCAATTGTCTCCACAAATTTTCTCTTCTTCTCCTGCGACCCCTTCAAAATGGAGGCGATGGCCGCGTTGAGGGTCTCCTGGCTTAGCTTGCTGCACATACATTCAAGAAGCATAGACATACATGTCTCCATACAAACCACCCGAAATGCAAGGCGCGAATTCTCTCCACTATTCAGCGGCATGAAGCAGGCCGCTGGTACCCAAAGCCCATCACTCCCCCACAATATGCACACACATGCAGGCGCCTCCAAAGGCGCTCTGCAATGCATCATCAGTTTCCCCTCCCGGTCGATATACACCGCAAGCTGCAACGAGTGCCCCGAGAACACCGCGACGGCAGCCATAGCAAGCCCCAGTGCGGGAATCGAGAAGCACAGCGCATCTGAAAACGCCTAAGGCAGTGCACGGCATTTATTCCACTCGAAACGAGCTGAACATTCATTTGCTGTCAATACGCCGTCGGTCTGGCGGCAGAAGAAGTACGAAGCGTCCAGCCATAGACATCAAGCGGCTGCGTGTGGAAACCTCAAACCTTTTCTTGTTTCTCTTCAGCAAACCAAAATATTTATTCATTAAAATGCAAATGAAGAGTTTAAATAACCAAATTCCGCCATTTCTACCCGAGGATCGCCCCACCGTTTCGCAACCGATGAACCGTCAGCAAGGCGGGCGTACCTCATTTTTGTGTTTTCAGAAGCAGCCGTTCAGCACAGAGTCCTGAAGATCCCTCCCGAGGCTTCTCCTGCTCGGTTTTGTTCTTTTTTTCTCCCAATTCCCTCTTCAGTGCTGCAGGTCGGCGATACCGTGTGGGTGGGGCGCAGCGGCCGCAGCCCCGCAGTTCGGTTGCCTGCGTTGTGGGGGGAGAGAGAGGACCTCGTTCTCATGCAATGCATCTTCGGCTGCAAGTTGAGTTCGTGTTTTCGAGGAGTATTGTAGTTTTGTACAACTACTGCTTTCCTCTCTGTCGCCTGCAGCTGTTCCGGCCGCCTCCATCTGCCTAGCAGGAACCAGCAACAGCACCGCTGCAGCGTGTTGAGGGCCCAGCAAGATGGCGGACTCCAAGGCTCCGTTCACAGTGCGTATTCGCAAGTTGTTGACGAACCCACTGTTGCAGCGGAAGCAGATGTGCGTCGATCTGCTGCACTTGGGCCGTGCGAACGTGAGCCGCAAGGAGCTGCAGCAGCGCCTCATGCAACAGTTCAAGGTTCAGGACCCGCGCTGCATCATCGTCGGTAACCTCTCCACTGCCTTTGGTGGTGGCAGAAGCAGAGGACAAGCCTGGATATACGACGACTTCAAGGCTGCACAGCGCTTTGAACACCGCTACAGACTGGTCAGGATGGGCGTCGCCGAGGCCCAGCCCAAGAAGGGACGCAGAGCCACAAAGGAGCTCAAAAACAGAAAGAAGAAGGTAAAATGCGCTTCAATAGGATACGATCACTGTCCTGCAGAGGGTCCGATGCGGCTTGTCCAGACCGCTCCTGCTGCCTGCTGGGGACGGTTCTCTCTGGGGCCCTTTCTTGCTGTCATGCATGCGGGTACCGGGGTGTATGTACACTGTCTGTTGTTGCATCTTGAGTTTCTGCTTTTACTGTGGTTGCAAACTCTCAGGTGCGCGGAACGGAGAAGGCCAAGACGACAGCTGCGAAACAAAAGTAAACGTTGCATTTTTACTCTTCTGGCGGTCTGCATCTCATCAGCTTCGTTGGGGTATATCTCGGGCCTCCAGGACCTGCGTAGAACTTGCGTCCTGGAGGTTTGTGTGTGGAAAGAGTCAGCAACTACAGCAACAACTGCAACAGCAACAGCAGCAGCAGCAGCAGCTGTCGCTGTCTAGATACCGGAAGTGCTGGCAGCCAGCCCCGGCTGCAAGCGGCGCCATTCTTCTTTTCTTCCCAACAAAAATCAACTGGTTGTTAATTTTGTTGGAGGTGCAAAGGAAATGCATGCAATTTGCTGCGTCTGCAGAACAGCTTAAAGGCAGTTGTTTGCCGCATAGTACCCACAAGCATAAATTCTTAGGGTTTCCTTACGTGCACGCAAGCGGCGACTCCTTTGTATTGCTAGTATAGCAGGGAGTGTTTCAGTGTTGTATGCAGATTAATATTTTTTGTTTGTGTATTGCCTGTATGCATATATGATGGCCTTATGAACGGGGCACCCTATAGACTTGGCTAAGGGTTGATAGACGTCGCCCGACATACCGGCATTGAATATATTGCAGCGAATATATTGCCTTGCACTGATGCGTCCAGATACAATCCAGAGAGCATGTGTTGCAGCAACTTTGTACAGCATTGGTATACAGACAGTTGAATTCAGCTGTGGTTTTGAGTTTTGCTTTTGGCTTGAAGGTTCTAACTGGCCCCTGAGGAGAAGTTTGTGTTGTTATTCATTAGTAAAATGGTGGTGTGAACTACACGCAGGTGTTCTTAAGGTGCAGTTCTCTTTTGGGTATTCCACTCGCATTTACTTCTCGCTTGCCTGACACTGCACCTTGGCGGGGAACCCGTAGGAGCTGCTGTAGGCTGAACAGTTTAATTGGCCTCAAGAATAATACAAAAGTAGTAGTTTAATTGCTACGGAGTTTGCCGAATGTATCTGTTGGTATATACGGGTACTTGTTGTATGAGGAAACAAAATAGTATAAAGAATAAGGCAATCAAGGCAAACTCCAGACGTCCCGAGCTGGAGTATCTTCTGGCGATATATTTGCCATTTCGTCATTCAAATAATAAAAGCTCTTCTTATCTGCTGTGCGGATACTGATGTTTCTGTTGTTTACGATGCCCGCAATGACCAGCTGCATCGGTTTTCTCTGCTTTTAAACTCCTAGAAAAGCAGTCTTCTGCATTTCTGAAGAAGGGAAAGCTCCAGTCAATTTGCAACGGGTAGGAACCGTCCCAACGCCCGATTTGTGGTGTACAGACACTGCGATGCGAACGCCAGATGCTGGCTCAAGCTGAGCACGTCGTTTGTTGTTGACTTTATCTGTCTTTTAATGCTAAATTCCGTGAGTTTTTTTCATCAGCAGTAATTCTTCTTCAGAAGGATAGTCCATCAGAGCCATTTCCCTAGCTTTTTGGCTCTGAGGTACTGCTGGACCACTCGGGGTTTCATCTCGCCGTTAGACGTAAATACACCGGATCGTTGTATTTCTCCCTGTTTTTCTTGGTTTTAGTTCGTTATTCTTCATAGTCGCTCACTTTTAACTTAAGAGAACTCCACGAGGCGTCGAAAAAGACGCAGTGGTTCACAGGCAGTGGCGACCGTGAGGCTAGGACGCTCGACGATTCAACTTGCCGCTTCTTTTTTGCATCACCTTGGCTCTCCTCTTCTTTCTCGTGCTTGTGAACTCTTCATTTCACCGAAGGTTATATTACCAGTCAGTCATCGCATGACTACACCACGGGCAGCGCCGTCGACGACTCGCTGCTACTGCAGGATCCCTGCAGTGTTTTTCTTCCCTCTTGGAGCGACTGTACATGAAGCTGAACAGAGCAACAGTAGGGCGCTGAATCTCAAACATAGCCGCCCATACGCCTTCCCTGCCGGTCCTGGCGCCAGTCGGCTGCGTGCTAAAGCAGCAGTAGGCAGCAACACTGAGACTGCAGCAGCAGCAGCAGGAATAACAGCTACTGAAGCAGCGCTCTTGCAGCAGCAGCGCTGCTGTTGAGTTGAACTCAACCTTTCTAGAAGCCAAAGAGTTTTAATGGGGGCTGCGGCCTCCTCCAGTGTAGACGGCGATGTGGGGTCAGGCGAAATTCAAACAGAACAGCAGCAGCCGCACCCACAGCGGCAACGGCAGCAGCAGCAGCAACAACAGCAGCAGCGGCAACAGCAAATCGTCTCGACAGGGGAATCGGCAGCTGTTGACTCCCCGGTAGCGCCTCCAACTGCAGCAAGAAACGCGCAGTCTACCGAGCGTGATCCTTCCGCTGCTGCTGGTGCTGCAGCAGCAGCAGCTGCTGCTGCTGATGCAGATATTGCAGATGCAGCTGACTTTGTAGCTCCTCAAAAGGGGATGCGGACAATTGGACTTGATTCTATTTTTCAGTTGCCGAAGCTGGCGTTGGCTGCAGCTGTGTGGCCCGATGAGGCAGCAGCAGGTCCCCTAGCAGCAGCAGCAAAGGTGCAGCACCAGCGGCAGCAGGACGTCGGAGCTCCTTCCGTTGCAGCAGCAGCTGCATGCATCAGCCGCTACAAAAGGCTGCTGCTGCAGCAGCGTCTGGCGTCTCTGGAGCGGCAGAAAGAAGAAGGGAGAGGAGGCGGGGTTTCAACGAGCAGTGCAGCAGCATCAGCAGCAGGTGTACATGCAGACAGCCTGGATGCATGTACACCTCAGGAGGAGGCTTTCGATTGCGTCTCCCTTGCAGGCCTCACTATGATGGAGACGGGCGTCGCCTGCACTCCCTCCTTAGACAGCCTGACGCGTCGGCTTGGGATGTATGAGCAGCTGCACCGACTGAAGCAGCAACTCGAAGCACAGCTGCAGCAAACAAAAAACAAAATAACGCTGATAGAGAAAAACATAGCAGATGCTTCAGGTGCAAAGTTCAACAGAAACAATAGCCGCAGCAACAGAAGCAGCAGAAGCAGCAGGAGCAGCGACAGCAGCAGCTGTAGTGAAACAGAGAAGGAAGGAAAGCACAAGGAGAAAGGAAAGAAGACAAAAGACGCTGCATCCAAAAGACCGTCGGGACTGGTGGGCCGAAATACTCCTCCAGGGCAGCACTGCAAGCAGCAGCAGCAACAGCAGGAGCAACAGCAGCAGCTGCAGCAGCGAAAGAAAGGACAACAGCAGCAGCAGCAGGAAGTTGACGGTCAGCATGTTGGGGGCGTTGAGCGCACGTCTGTTGGTGTTTATCCCTTTGCTGCTGCTGCTGCTGGTTCCACCTCTTCTGCTGCATCTGCAGCAGCAGCAACACAGGAGCTGCTGCAGCTGGAGTGTACATGCATGGAGTTGCAAGCCGACATTGAAACCTTAAACAAGGCCTGTGCTGAGCTGCATGCGCTGCTGCAGCAGGTGTGGCTGGCATCGAAGATGCCTCTAAACCACAAAATAAATAAAACAGAATTTAGACAGCTCTGGTGTTGCAACAAAGACGATGACAAACAACAAATGCAACTCGCAGACAAGCTCTTCGACTTATGTCGGCTCGCAGCCAACAGACTCCAACGCCTCAACTCCACCAGCAGCAGCAGCAGCAGCAACAGCAGCAGCAGCAGCAGCAGCAGCAGCAGCAGCAGCAACAGCGGCGTTGACTGCGGCTGTAATTGTGGGTGTGGAGGCGGGGGATCGGAGCGGCTAACGTTCACAGATTTGTTGCATCAGCTGCCCCCAAAGGCTTTGGAGTGTATGTGGTGTCGCGCAGAGCTGCGGCGAAAGGAAAGGCAGCAGTATCGTTATTTTTGGATTTAGATTATTTAAATAAACATTTTTTTATTTTTTTCTGAAAAACACTTTCTTTTATTAAACATTTTTTTATTTTTTTCTTAAACACACTTTCTTTTATTCCTTTCTTGTAAACACTTCCCTCTACTTTTCCCCAAATATACTCCTCCCTAGTGTACTAACGAGACAGACAACGGCGTGCAGCGCTGCTTCACTCTGTGGCAGCAGCAGCAGCAAAAATACTAGCAGCAGCAGCAGTAATACAAGCAGCAGCAGCAGCAGTAATACAAGCAGCAGCAGCAGCAGTAATACAAGCAGCAGCAGCAGCAGTAATAAAAACGGTAATAGTTTCAGGAGTTGCTGCATTGAGAAAACCATCAGCAATTAGAGCAGAAGTTGATGCGTTTAGAAAGGCAGTGTTGAATTGAAGAAGGAAAAAAGCAACGAGCTGCTCATGCCGATATTTGTGGTGTAGGTACACCGCAATGGGCAGGCATCCGTTGCAGTGTGCGTACACCTCAGTGGGTATTGGTTTCATTGTTTGTGTTTTTTTTTTGCTTTCATCTCCTTCAGTCTTTGTGAATCTGCATGATACGAATGCCGTTCTTTCCCCCTTCGTATTTAAACCACCGACCCAGCCGGCTTTCTGTGCTGACAGCAGCAACAGCAAAGGAGTGGTTGCTAGACAGGGAGATCCCACTCACTGCTCCTCCAGCCCCAATGCATGCACCAGGCAACGCGCGCAGAGAGCCGCCTCCTGCTTTCTCTGTAGCATAGACAAGAAACAACAAACAATGAAGCTGTTGCTTATGCATATGAATCCGAATAAAGACGACACAGAATGCTGCATGCATGCAGTGTATTGCCACCACATTCACTTGTAGGTGCATGCACGCGTCAGAACACGAAAAAGGGGCATTGAGGAAATCATTCGGGGCTGCTGCAGCATGCATGCGAGGCGAGAACAGAGGCGGCGAAGGAACAGCATCTGAACAACTAAACTGCATCGAAGTATCTAAACAGAATCTAAACAAACAAGCAGAATATAAACGAATAAGCAGATAACTTAATATAATATGAACAGTTGAAGAGAACCTGAACAAGTTGAGAGAATGTAAGCAACGCCGCAGAATCTAAAAAATTAAAAAGCATCTATAAACAATTCCACCGAAAGTAAACATGTAAACAGAACCTAACAACTGAACAGAAACTGAAACTGAACAAGTAGACAGAATATGTAACACCTACTGGCGCTTTGGGTTGCCTCCCATAGCTGCACAGTTCCCTCTTCTGTGCCCACAAGCAGCGCGTCAGTGAAGGGGAGAGCGCAGAGAGCAGAGACGGCTGTTGCAGCTGCTGTGGCTCGTAGGGGTGCGGGTGCTTTCTGCAGCGCCTGGAGTGTATAGTCTGCGGGAGAAGCATCAGCAGCAGCAGCAGCAGCTGCTGCTGCTGCTGCTGCCTGCTGACTGACCCTCACACACGACAAAGGACGCTTGCAGCCGCTGTTAAACAACGCCAGCAAACCCCCTTGGGTCCCGCATGCAAAGAGAGACGGAGACATGATCGCTACCGAATCTACGCAAGACCCCAGAGGAGGAAACGCCGCGTGTGTGTCTTGTACGAGCTGAGGATCACCAAAACAACACAACAACCAGCAGCATCAACAGCAGCAGCACATAAGCAGAAGCAGCAACAGCAGAAAGAAACAAGCACAACAGAGGAACGAGAATTGCCATGCCGAGTTTGAAATACAGCTGAAGAAATGTGAACAAAAAAAAACAAGAAATGAAAATGATAAAGACAACAGCCATGCATTCACATGCATGCAGACGCGCATGCATACAGCTCAACGAACAACAAACCGAAGAATGGCAGAGACAGGCAGAGATTCAGCAACAGATGCAAATAACAACCAGGAAGGCGGGAAAGCTGTTTCCTTTGTTATTATAAATATATACATATATACGCACATATATGTAACAGAAAGAGAAAGAGACAGAGACAGAGACTGCGACAGAGACAAAGAAAGACACAGGGCACAGACCGATACAACAGAGACGCAGACACAAGCAGATAATACAGAGGCACACAGAAGAGACAGACAAAGATATAGAGAAGGAGACATGACAGAAAATGAGAGCGACAGACAGCAGAGAGACAGAGAGAGAGAACAGAGGCCGAGCGGCCCGCAGAGCATACAGACACAGATGCAGAGAAACGTGCTGCTGTACAGACAGTACAGATAATTTCTACTAATGTTTCGTGCCCATGATAATATATTATTTATTATTATATTTCCGCACTTTCCAGTTTCTGAGGGTGCCGTCGTTGCCGCCCGTGATGGGTTTGTTGGCCTGTAAGGTGTCTATACAGTTGACTTCAGAGGCATGACCATAGAAAGAGTTGGCGAGGCTACGGCAGCTGACGCTCCACACTTTAATTGATTTGTCGCTGCTACAACTTAATATTTCTCCTTCTGAATCTCTCTCTCCCAGTCTCCCCCCATTTAAACAAAGACCTGTAATAGGACCCCGGTGACCCCGCAGCTCAAACATACACCTGAAAACAGAACACATATAACAGCCGTATGCATGCAACTAGAGTGACAGAGGCAGAGATGTAGACGGAGATATAGAACGAGACAGACAAAGATAGAGACAAAGAGACAGAGACAGGCGCAGGCAAAGAGACAGATACTGCCAGCGAGGCATTCACATAGACTGAGACAAGGAACAGAGACAGAGACAGCCGCATACCTCTCGTTGGAGGCCCGCGGGTCCCAGGCTTTAATTGTGTGGTCAGCACCACCGGAGAAGAGAAGACGTTCATCCCCAGTAACACAAACACTCAACACAGCGCGAAAATGTCCCCTAGTGTTTGCATGTTTATTGCTGCTGCTGCTTTTGCTGCTGCTTCCGTCTGCTGCACCACCGAAGCAGTTTCTCTGGCCCTTGAAGATCTCCTTCTTCCCCGTCTCCAAGTCCCACCGGATCACGCAGCAGTCTTTCCCCCCAGTGTATGCATACCCCCTGCTGCTGCTGCTGCTGCTGCTGCTGGGGTCGCAGCTTCCCTCACCAGGAAGGGCGACGCAGGTGACTGGGAGTTTATGGCCTCTGAAGAAGGCGACGTCTTTTAGTCGAAGACGCGCGGCAACAGAAGAAGTCTGACGAGAAGAAAGCTGAAAAGAAGTAGCAAAAAGGAGATATAATAATGCATGCATACATGCATGCATGCGCACTGTATGCAATTCAAGGCATGCATTCATGTTCTCTTCAGCAGCAACTGCAACATATAGACATATTTATGAGTGTAACTAAAGGAAAAAAAAGACGGAAATCAACAAACTTGGTGTGCAGCTTTAACGGACTTTGCCTCTTTCTGCTTTCTTCTTGAGTTCTGCTGCCAGTGTCGCCTTTTCTTCGTCTTCGTATTCAAACAGATCATCTTCATCTGAGTCTTCTCCATCTTTGTCTCCGTCGCTCTCTTCTGAGGAAGCAAATGCTGGATCTGGATCTGCTGCTGCTGCTGGTTCAGCAGCAGCAAAAGGAAGAGCTGCTGAGGTCCTCTTTGGCCGCTTCCCCTTTGCTGTTGCAGACACCTCCCGAAGATACTGCTGGGCTATACGCAAACGAGCCTCGTCCGTCGTCTCATCAGCTGCATACGCACACACAATTGCATGCATGCATGCATACATGCATGGGTGCATGCATACAAATAGACACACAGTTGCATGCATGCGCATCCACACACCGTTGCATGCATGTATGCATGTGGAACCACAAGTGCGTGCATGCATGTGCATGCAGGAGCACTCATGTTTGCATGCACGCATGCGCGTAGGATGCAGCATACAAGATAACGCTATAGACGAACAAGTAAATCAAGCAGCGCCCAAGCAAATGTGCGACGAGGGATAAAAACAAATACATCAGCTGGTATGCTGCGCTGCTTGCATGCAGTTCAAGGAGTTTCTGTCTTAATCCTTCTCTAAAGCAGTTCAGTATATGCTTTGTTTTTGCTTGGTTACCTCCTTCTGACTCGTCGTCTGTAGAGGGCGGGCTGTCCGCGCCTGAGGCAGAATCGGAATCGATGTTTTCATCTTCTATGCGTTTCCGTTTGGAGGCCACGGAAGAGTTAATAAGGGGCCTCTCCTCATCTCCTCCCCGAGATCCCTTTGTTCCTCCTTTTCTGCTGCTTAAGCCAGAAGAACGCAAACGAGAAAACCGGGGGGCCCCCCTACCCCGGGTGTCACCCATCGCGGCAGTGGGGCGGGCGGTGTACGCCTAGAGAGCCTTAGTTAACAAAGGTCTATTGAGAGAGGCTTAATAAGCAGATATATGAGGATATATATAATACGTGAGAGTATGGGAAGGGCTCAATAGGCATATGGACGTCCGTTGAGGGTACAAGGAGGTATATTGGCGGGGGCTTAGCAAACGGAAGTATGTTGAAATAGAAGAAACGTAAACTAGGAATTTATCTCGAGATTTATCTACAAAAGAAAGAGAGAAAACGATAAAAAAAACCCTCTGGCTGGCCTCGACAAGAAAAGAACTTCTGTTAGCAGGCTGCGCTGGCGGCTGCCCGTTGGGCTCGTTGAGGTAGGCGGATGAACTCCTTCATCTATTGTATCTCTTTTTTGTAATTTACTTTATATTATTATTGTTTTATTTTGTTTCATAAGCGGTCAACTTAGAGCCAAGTGCACATGCAACAACGGACAACAAGGATACTGGTTTCACCGGCTTTCTGAGATCACGTTGCGCCCCACAGTCGATCGCTATCGAAGCCCTTTTCTCTCTTTCCCGCTATCTTTGGTTCTCCTAGCAACGCTTTTGCGCTGCTTTGCACAAGTTTTGTAATTCTGATTGCGGAGCATTTACAGTAATATGCACACTTGTCGTTGAGCTGCACGTGTACTATCTATTGATTCACTGTCTTGGTACAAAATGACGTAGAGATGGTCTCGTACACAACACGGTCCACAGCAATGCCTGCATGAAGCTGGTACTGTCTGTTTCTCCGCTAGCCATAGCTGTCTGCGTGAGCTCACACTGGCTGTGGAAGGCCAAGTAACTTCTCAACAATTAGTTGCAGTGTCCGTACATGCAGCATATGGGATCTTGGTTTGCTTGCATTAGGACTTGTCTTGCATCGCAGGATGTCACGCCTCTTCCTCTCTCGCCAGCTCCATTCCCTACCGCTGCCGCACGCAGGACACATATACTGGAGAGTAGGTCAGTTACTGTTTGAAAGATCTTGCCTAAGTATTTTTGATTCCTTTGCACCTCATGACCGTCCCCAAATAAAATTGAGGACTCTCAATACACTGGGTATCGCAATATAGTTCATTGAGGGAGGTGCGCGCAATGAACACCTTCCCCCCCCCCCNCCCCCCCCCCCTCAGGGTGGCCCAATGCAGAGTGACAAGTGGCGTATAAGCTCTGGAAAATATGGGGTGGAAAACTCTAGATACTGTTCTAAACTATTCATAAAAACCTCAGCCCTGTTCCTCTCTCTCATAGTAGATATTGTCTGCCATCCAGTGGGAAAATCACCAACGGGTGAGCGACCCATCCAGCCGGATAGGATGCAGGCATTGCACTGTATGGAATGGTTTTTTCACCAAAAACAACTCGCAACTAATTCTTCCCCGCTGGCCCTATGTGATCGAAGCATCGATGCTGAGGTAGTAAACGGGTTATTGGGTTGTCTTCGCTTGTCTCATCACCTTCATATGGCGCCCTGAGACCTGTATTTGCCATCGGGATCTTCTTGATTAGAAGGCGATTCACGACCGTAGTTGCATCTATGCAAAGGTACCCCTTTAGAGGAGCGCATCCAGAATAGGGAAGCATTCTGTTATGCGTTGTAATGTAGGTTTATCTCGGAATGGCTACCCTGAGGATAGTTCGACAGGGGAAGCCGTTGATAGACCCCGACACCGGGAAAAATCGGCCTTGCATGGATAGGAGTCCAACGAAGGGTTCCTAACTTCTGTATTAGTGGCCCATAGCAGGGTTGACGAAGGAAAGGGTGAATGGATAGCTGACTAGGCCACTGGGAGTGAACTCATATGGTAAAGGTATGGACTCGCCGAGATAATTGAGTTCTCACACATCGAAGAGACAAAAACGCTACTTCCCCAAACATACTTAGTATGGAAGAAGGCGAGTTTGGAAATAACCAAAATACGGTGCCTTCAGATACTGGGCCTGTGTTCGCCATTCCCGCTTAGGAAAAGGTAAGAAGCGGTAAGTAACAGCAGAGCAGTTCTTCACCCAAGGGAACGTACCGAGAGAACCTGCTTCTTTTGCAATAAGCAAGGAAGCTAAACCGGAGATTGAAACACCTCGACCAGTGCTTCCAGTGAAACAAGGAAGGCGATCAGGCGAACGCTTGGTCCCCAACGCAACGAGTAGCGCACTGATGGGGCCGGAAAATGTAACATCAGCAGTTTCAGACCCACTTCGAGTCAACACTGCGCTTTTGTAAATTTGTATTAACTCCCAGGAGATGATAGGGATACTTTAGAAAGGCTGAAAAGTGGATCTGGCAATTGCTACGGCGAGGAGCTGCAAGCTGCCAATCTATTCCTTTTACGCAGGCCCTGCCACTACACCTCATTGGTTGTAGGTGAGGCTTATGGAGTACAGCAGTAAGGTCAAGTAACTTGTCAACTCTTATTTTAGTTATTTGATCAGAACATAGTTGCCCTCCCCTCCTGTCCTCAGGCGTTCTTGGCAAAGAGAACAAATGCCCTGGCCATGATGGAGAGAGGAGGGGGGTTTTCATGAGCTGCAACGTACCGGGCTGCCACTACTGCTGGAGAAGAACCACACATGCACGCGCAACAAATCCTGCCTTGCTACTTACACACTAAACAGTTGCTAAGCACCTACTTGGCCCCCCAATAGCCAACCGAAGATCAATGTTCATGCATGGGCCAACTTCAAAGCATGCTACACAGATTATGCTACAACTCACAACGATAAACTCTGGACTCCAATACGATGAAACCCACACTGGGAACCTTTACGGTGATACCCAAGAACAATATGCGTGAGCGTTGAGCATACACCCTACATGTACATCTGCGCTGTGCCCAAATGCTATGGAACCACGTGTTCTTCAAAATTCTTCCAGAAAGACCAGCGCAATGACTTTAATGAATGGATTAAGCAGAGCATGAACTATGCGCCATATGCTGTTCAACTCTTATATTTGCTTCCTGGAGGGTAGGATCGGCCAGGGAAGTGATCGCCTCGACGCTCACCGACGACGGAGGAACGAAGCAGACCCCCCAATTCGTTACAGAAGCAGCGAGAATTCGGATATATCATCAAATTTACCCGGTCACTTCAAATAAAACCTGAAGAGTTAAGGCGTTTCAGTGCCTTACGTATCCACATATTACTGAGTTAAGCAGCGTCACCACTTGCAGATCCCGTGGTGTCTGGAATGAAGCACGCGGTATCTGAATTTCGTGGGGCTGGCGAAACAAGCAACTTCCGCATCGTCAACGCAGTTGCCCTTTGATACTTACCGGGGGATTTGTAAAGTCTTGTGCGTGCCTTCCGTTTCCTTCCGATATTTCCTAGTTTTTATCCTCCTGCCGAGCTCCGGATGTGCCGGAGCCTGTGGAGCTCTCCACTGGGCCATGCAATATGGAGCACGTAAAGCTTCTGGGAGAGATGGGAACTGTCAATGTATCTGCCACAGATGGCATGCCAGTTGAGCATGTGGATGTTCTTAACCAAGGAAGCAAGCCAGCCCCTACCTCCCGAGCATTTCAACTCCAGTTGGGAGTAGCTGTATGCCTTGCTTTTGTGTTTTTTCTGGGTTTATGTTACCGCTTTATTAGTTCGAGGCGTTCTAAAATCGTTGGAGAAAGGCGGTTAGCGTCCGGGGGCGGAGAACCGGGAGGGGGAGACGATAAAGGGGAAGGTGGAGAGGCATGCCATCCAGGGTATTCCGGTCCTACCGAAGATGACGAAACGGAGCTCCTTCAGACATCTATTGTAGTTCAGCAGCCCCCCTCTGAATTACAACCGGGCGAGTTAGCAGAGGGGTCACGGGGACATCGAGAAGACCGACATGAAGCAGCCGCAGCTTCACTGGCGGACACTTCTCAAGCACCTGGCGCAGCAGAACCTATTGGAGAGCCCCGACCAAAGTCCAAAAATGAAGTACGCAAAGAACGAGAAAACCTATTACTTGCAGTTGAGAACATTTCTACTCTCCTACAAAGCGGACTCGAGGCGTTGAATGATGATTGGGATCCATATAATAGTCACTGGCATTTCTGCACGACAGTGTATGAGGGTTTACAGTACTACTTGCAACGGGCTAGTGATCTTTTCAATGAACACAATAGACGATATGGCATTCAAGAGCGCATTGGATGGCTTAATAGAGTGCATAGCGCACGGCACGCACGCGATATTGCGTGGAATGTTCTAGCTGCATATGCAAGTGATTTTGGCCTCGTATCTCCCTCTATGGAAACCGTATCAGCTGCTGTGGATCTCCGCATCGAGTTGCTGATACGTGTCAAGGGCTCCATGCGCTTACTCCAGGGAGTTATGGAGAGGCACAGGGAAGAACGATCGGCGGAAACTCTTGCGGAGCTTAATCGCGTTCTCCAGGAAACTTCAGCTTGTTTACGGGAAGTCTCTCCATTTTTGTCACGCCATGCTTCAGCATCAGTAGATATTCTGACTGAAAAGATTAGAGATGATTACATTTCCTTACGTGATATGCGTTTGCAAGCAATGAAGATGGTCAGCCAAACTTAACCCCGCCGACATAGACGCGAAATGCAAATAGTTGCAAGCGTAAGCACCGGTGGTCGGGCTCCTGCCCGCCTAGCAGAGGACGTCGCGGAATCAGCAGTGGCATCAGCAGCAGCGGCGTCTGCCGTTGCAGCAGTTCTTGCATCCGCTGCGCCAGCAACAAAGTACCGAACGATCTCGCATCTGGAAGCTTATGAAGTGTGTTCTCTAAAGCCACTGTCAGCAATGGCTCCTTCTTCCTCGCGTGCAGCACAGCCTCCGTGCTCTTTCTACCTCATTGATTTGCGTGTCCATCGTTACTTTGTACCGCCATGTACCTTCTAGTGGCGCCGCGTGCAGGTCTGTTAGATGCCTTGTGGCCCTCAGCCCGTCAGGTCTCATCATCATTTACCTTGCTATCACTCCCCCGCCGACTGCAATTTTGGGATTTGGCCTGCACTTCCAGATGGAACTGGAGTCGTGCAGCCAACAAGTTGGGGAAGGTCGCACATAGGACGCTCAAGGTAGTGAGAGGAGGGGCTTCAATTGCTTCAGAATGGCGCAGAAGGCATGAGAAACTTCAGTGACCCGGACTCTCGCTGCGCGGCCACGTCTGTATGCTGGAATAAATGGCAAATTCGCCAAAACAGCAGAAGTAGGCTAGCTGAGACAGCCGGGACAAATGCGGCGCTGGAGGGAAGGTACATCTTCGTGGAATTCCGTATTTTCAAGGCTGTGGAAACTCACATAACAGGCGAGACGAAGAAGCTATGCTGCCTTCTCGAAGGCGCAACAAACCATGCGTCGCCCTCCCTGAAGATTCCGGGGTGGGCTCCCGCTGGCTGTGTATAGAGGGAAAGTTGAGAATGTTGTTTCAAGGGGCACCATGGGTCCAAAAGTCGTAATGATGAAGTAACAGAGCAGTGAGAACTGTCGCTCCAGCCACTCAAGCGTGGCGTAGAATTGAACGGCTGAACTTCGAGGACTTAGACAGGCGCATCCTTCTTAGTGGCCTTTTTATTCGTCGTCTTTCTCTGGTTCCCGCGAATCTGTGGAGTTCCGTAGTGTTCTGCCTCCTAGGAGGAACCGCGAGAGGCAGCCGTGTAGGCGTAGCATGGTCTGGCCGAAGATGGTTCATGTACTTCTTTGTGTGCAGGCTGCCTACAAAGGGTAAAGTAAGTGTTCAACAATTGTCTACAGCGTTAATGCATGGTGCAGACGAAACCTGGATGTACCTGCATGTGGCGTTGCCCTGGGGTTGGCTTCGGGAGCTCGTTGCAGGAAGATGCGGTGCAACTCGTGTCAGACTGTAACTCTCGCATGAGCCCAGGGCGCGTATCTCATTGTACCCAGTACGCCTGAATCCTAGTGATGGGCTGCTGTTTTTTTGGGACACTTTTCATAGGTCTTTGCTGCAGTTCGCGATGATTCCACTGCAGCTCTCGATGATCCTTCCCTAAGGTAGGAGACCTTCGCTAGACACGCGATGTGTTGTGGCGCTGAGCCGCCGACTAGGCGTGGAAGTGAGTCTCAGCATGTCTGCGTTGAAGGCTTCCGTAGCTTCAAATCGTCTTGCCTTTACCGTTACAACCAGTAGCTGTCTACACCTAGCTGGCGAATCAGCGCAACAACACGTGGCGTGTCTGCCTCGAAGGCTTCTGTACCTTCCACTCGCCTTTACCTGAGCACTACAACCAGTACAACATTAGCTGCAATGGTTACGTTAGCTAGGTTGGCCACTTTCTGCGAACGCATAATGTCGCATAGCCGGCCATTGTACCGCAAATTGCCGGTGGGCCATCCCTCACGAGTCTCAAGAACTTCTGCAGCTACTCTCGTAGGAAAAAAAAACACACAGCAACAAATTGTATGAGCTCAGCTCATGGTCAAATGTCTTCAAATGCAACAGGACGGCGCGTGAAACGCAAGGAACGGGAGTGGTTGGATCCCCCGATGCATCGACAGACCGTCGATAGGCACACTTCTTTTGGGTAGATATTATTTCGTGTGTGTTTCTTCTTAAAATATGAAGTATATCGCTATTCATCATCGTGTTTTACAAGGCGAAGCAGTAGTGGAACGGTTTACGCCATCTGCCAGCACCCCACGTGTGTGGGACTCGCTGCGGGTGAGCGACACTCAAGGACATTGGTGACGGCACCAGCGCTTTGGGGACAGTTGCGCAAAGTTTTGCTTTTTTTAACATCTAAAGCAATGTCATTCGCAACTTATTTGGTCGGCGGTTCATCTTAATACCCAATTAGAGACCAGACCCATCGTGCATACGCCGCTGAGAAGAGACTATAGGGGATTGGCTGGTTCTCGTTAGTGACGTTTTGGCATAAGGTCAGCACTAATCTTTGGCCAAATTTTATTCTGTACGACATAAAAAACAGGGGGAAGCATCCATGCGCGAACAGCGAGCTGACCTCACGCCCGTGGAGGAAGCGGGGTTGGTCGTATTGGACCGCGCATCCGAAGGAAGTAAAAAGGATGCCAGGACTGCGGGGAGGAGCGCGGCGGTGTCCCGCCGTGCTCTGGATTTGGTAGTCGTCGTAGCAGTTGGACTCGCACTAACATTAATGATCATATCCTGTTTTCGTCACATCAACTCTCGCCGAACGCTACAGGAGTTCTCGTGGAGGCAGTTGGCTGGGGACCAGGAAGATGGTGGCAGGGACAGCTCGTGCACTGGAGGGCTTGACTCAGACGAATCAGGGCAGGAATTGCCTCAGCAGGATGGGCAGGAGGTGCCGATGGAGGTAGGGGAAGATGAGCCGCAGCAGCAGGGAGGATCGATGGGAGGAACACCGGAGGTAGACGATCAGCCGCAGCAGGAAGAATCAGAGGAACCAGAGCAGAAACTGCCTCAGCAGGATGGGGAAGGGATGCAGATGGAGCTAGGAGAAGATGGGCAGCAGGAGCAGGGAGGATCGATGGGAGGAGCACCGGGGGGAGACGGTCAGCGGCAGCAGGAAGAATCAAAGGGAGTAGATGCAGGCTCTCAGAGTCCACCTGAGGAAAAGGAGAAGTCGGGACCGCCAACTCCTGCCCCAGCTGAAGCCGCAGGAGATATGCCCCTAGAACTTCCGGGAACATCCTCTGGGGAGTCTGGCACGTCCACCCCACGTCCGTCAGGAAAGAGGAAAGCGAAGACGAAGCACTTGGAGTTGCCCGTGAAAGTTCGAGCGCCGGCGATGGGGAAAAAGGGAGAAGAAGATGACTCCAGCGATTCCGGCGACGAGCTACCAACACGTTGGCCCACTGGCAAGCTTTATGACCCTGATCCATCGAAGCTTCCACCAGCAAAACCAAGGAAACAACCACCACCGTTGCCGAAACTGGGTCCGGTGACTGTCCCCGGCGATCGTCCAGTGTCTAAGAGTCCGAGAGCGCAAGCGGCCAAAGTCAAAGGGCTAACGAAGATTCTCCAGAAGGCTTGGGAGCATGCAGAAGAGGAATCAGGTAGGAGTAGTGAGGGCTACATGAAGTCCGCCGTCTCGCTTGTGGCTGAAGTAGCGCAGGCGCTTTCCGCGCAAATTGGTTCCGCACGCCAACTCATAAGCGAGGATAGCTCAGGTGAACTAGAGGAAGTCTGTGGCCTGGCAGAAGGTCTCTTAGCTGTAGTAGATGAATTTCTGGCCTCGCATGGTGTTACACGGGGAGACTTTCCACCTCAACCGCCTGTTGGTGAGGGACCAGGGCATCCGATTCCCAACCGACTGCTAGCGATGACGCTGGCCCAAACCCGACTCTCGAGAGCTATTGAGGATTTCAAGGCGGATCCAAATTTTGATAAGTTCCCACAGCTCAATAAGTTTGTTGATATGGCGGATACGCTAATAACGTCAACAGAGCCTCTTCCTCCACAACTGCGTGCACAGGGGCGAAGTGCTGCTGCTCGGTTTATTGAAGAATTCTTGAATGAGGTTATACGGCTGGCCGATGAGATGGAGGAGTTGCTGAGCATGTATGGGGGTGAAGATAGGCCTCCTTCTCCCGGACTAGTTATGGATACGATGTTTGGTGCCCTGGACGCGTCGATGCAGAGACTGGGTGCGATATTAGGCCAACAGCAAGGGCAACAACAGCAGGGACAACAACAGCGGGGCGGAGCACGCTCGCGTCGGAGAAGAGAAGGGGAAGATCATGGGGAAGATGACCCAGAAGGCAAAGAGCGGGAACCCTAACAGTTCAAGCCTAAACGCTAACAGCTGTTCTTCAGCAGGTTATGGGATATGCAGAGTATATATCAGGAACGAGAAGCGAAGAGGGGATGAGCGCTTCCGCCTGACCTGTGGCTGACGTAGTGCAGACGTTTGGCATGCCAGTGGACGTCCCATGCCGAAGCGCTAAAGTGAAAAATTCGGAAGCAGAAGTAGAGGAAGTGTAGCTTCTGGAATAAGCTGCGGAAAACTGCATGGGAATTCCCCTTTTGGCATGGTATACTACTGGAAGGGATCCATCTTCAAAGCGGAGAGTGCTCCGGCGGCAGGATACAGAAACTAAATTGCCGTCCGACTGCAGGTGCCGGCTGGCCCAAAACAGGCTCGTGAAAGCTCTTGAATTCGGGCGAGATCCTTCACTTGACAGGTCATCCGATGTCGAGAAGCTTCATTGCATGGCGAAGCCGTTAATGTCGAGGACACTGAGCATGTCTAGACATCTATGCGCAGAGAACTTGCATGGTGGGGCTCGCTGTGTCGGTTCGTTATTGGAGCTGAAAACTCAACAGGTGAAATTAGACATTTGCTGGAGAAGTATGGGGAGGAGGAAGACCCATTTGATCGTGTGACTAGCCCCACAGGACTTGCCGACCCGACGGTGAATACCAGCTGCATCGGCCAAAAGTACAGGAGCGGCGTTGTAGCAGTTAGGATACGTAGTAGACACAGAAGACGTTCGGAAGGCAACAGGCGAACAAATATCGGCAGCCAAGGCGCTCCTCCATCAAACCGAGCATATCTAGATTTAAAAGGCATAGGTCCTTGGCAAGCGGCGCCTCCCTTCAATGCTTCCAGCGTGTTGCGGGAGAAACTCGTCAGCCCAAACAGCTCTGGACAGCAGTTGACCGTAGTGAGCTGTTTTGAGACTAGGGTAGCTGGGACGTTCTGGTGATAATACAACCCCTTCGCCTTTTATTTAGGATTGAGCGAAGAACGGATTCCGAAATATCAGCCTATCCGGCTTTTATAAGGAGGAGGGCACTTCCTTTAGAGGAGGGTAGCGTTTTTTTTTATGCCCCTCTACCGGCCGTTGTATAAACCGAGGCTCTGACAGAGTCCAACAGAGCCTGCACTTGTCCGCGAGAACAATTGCTGTTGCAGAAGGGCCGAGGCGTGGTGAAGCAGTAGCAGGGACGTTTCTGCAGCCACAGCTGGCGCGTTTAATGTCATGCTAGTTAGCAGCATTTTGACAGCTACGAGGTGTGACTGTATTCACTCTCGCTATTTCACTGTATACTGTTGCCTATGACAGGGAAGACAAACGAGATAACAAAGGCTGGCGTGCATTGCGCCAAGAACCTGAGTGCGTATACAGGCACTGAAAGGGCGTATTTGGGCAGCATTAGAACTTGTTGCAAGAATTTGTTCTCGTTTGCGGCTCCCTAGGAAACCTGTTGGTCCAACGCTGCACATGAATTTGCGTAGGCATCTCAGTTGCTGCCAGCGGCGTCCTTTCTAGATGCATCGACCACCTTAACTATCTTAGAATTATCGTTCGTCAAATTTTCTCTGGTAGAGGGCGGCAGCATGACGTTCCGTGTAGCCATCTGATTCAGTGTCTCAGTGGCGCCGTCGGGAACGCTCCCGCTGCTACTTCCTGGGTCAACGAAAGTAGCTCGCCTGTTAGTGGCTGCTGCGGTGTCATAGGGGGAGCAGAGACTCCTGTGCTTCTTCTTATCTACCGTGGGTGCAGCCGAACGCCGCCTCCGGTCCACAGCTCTTGCATACGAGCGTTCCTGCAGCACTGCACCCACCTTGCGCTGAGTCCGTAGTTAGCTACGCCAATTTGGGGACAGGTGCCATATAATCATCGGGCACAGGTGCGGCAGGTGGCTCCTGGGCAGTCCAGGCGGGAACTAATCCACATGACACTCTCGGTGCCGAGCTAACTAGATACTAAATGCAAGAGCAGCTGTATATATTGATAGATCCACCGGTAAAGTCAGCACGATTACCCCTAGCTTTGTGCCAACTTAGTGAGTGCCGGTGGTGCTGCTTTCATGCCGGTCCACTCGCACAGCATACTAAGACGCGCGCCATTGCCTTTACCGGAGTGTACTGGCAAACACTGTGCGTGTGCCTGCGCATTCCAACTGCAATTTAATAGAACATACAGACGTTACTTTCTTCTCCGCGCTGGTCATTGGTCCCAGCTTTGGCTACTTTTAGGTTGCCACTACAAAGCTACGACAAAGCTTCTAACGTTCTTGTGCACCAACATATTCATCCCAACGACATATGGTCCTACGGCACAACTAATGGCGAAGCACTGCCAGTGAGTGTTGTCAGTTAGCTCAGCCAAGTGCGAGTGGTTGTCCACGCATGCACCTTCATCTGTTCCAATGATAATCAGGATCGAGGTCTGTCCACCTCAAGAAAGGGATGCGTCCGCTGAGGCTGGTTGACCTGCATTGTATTCCTCCAGCAGCGTCCCACTGGCGTAGGCTCTTGCCAAGAAGCAGAACAAAAAGCAATTCTTGTGCTACTGCTGACATCAAGACATCAGCAACACCAGTATCGATATTCACAGGTGTATCGGGGAAAGAGAAAGTAGACGTTTACAAAATACTCATCGGACAAAAGAACTAAGACGTACACAAGGAGAACTGAGTTTATCAGCGTCCCATATAACGCTGTTGTTTTTGACGGCTAGATTTCTCATCATCCGCCACAGCTAGCGTATCGAGCTCTTGCGCACCCAGTATGTCGTATCCGTCCCAGGCCCACGCATTCAACCAGTTCGCGCTTGCAGCTGCCAGAGTGACAGCCAAAGAGTTGCGAGTATAATGCGAAACAAATGAAGCGCCTTGTGTGAAGTGCCGTACGCCACTATACCTCTTCCATCCGCTGGCACTGGGTAGCAGCAGCAGCAAAACGCTGGCTAGGAAATGACCCATCGTCGCGGTCACTGCCTTCTAGAGTCTCCCCGCAACGGCGGCGCCGCTTGAGGTGTCGCTCGCTCCGAAGATTCTCGTGATGCTGAGGCAAGCCTCCAGTGTCAGCCCGATGAGGCCCTCGACGCATTCCCCACAATCCGCCAGCCGCCGCCCTGCGCCCTGGTGATGCAGCCACTGTGGGTACCGTGGCGAGGCCATCTGCGAGCAAAGCGGATGATGGATATGCTGCAGCAGCAGCAGCGGGGGCCGCCTGTACCCCCGAAACTGTGTTTACTTGCACATGCGGCATTTGAGACTTCTGCGCTGCCGATGCGGCGCCTTTACTCACCCACCTCAGCCACTGACAAGCCAGAGCATGCGCTCTCTGCTCCCCCAGCACTGTGCAGCAGAAGCGCTTTTGAAGGAGCAGCTGTTGCACTGAATCAAAGGCGGTCGCTACGTAACAGTCTGAGCTGCTCTCCAGGTACACCCGAGGAATAACCACGGTGCGGGACTTCGCAGTGGACGTCTCTGTCTTGGCTGCCGGCAGCCTTGAAGCATGGCTGGCTTGGGAGGTACCGGTAGAACACGGGGACCTGAAGTTAGCTGTCGCAGGTGCATCCGCTGGAGCAAGGCGTTGTCCTGGTTTTGCTGCTTCTTGTGCTGCTACTGCTGTTGTGTTTGCTGGCGCCGTCGATAATCCTGTGTCGGCCAAGCTTACCGATGCTGCTTTGGCTTCTCCAACGTCAACAAGCCTCTGGGCTTCGGACGTAGGTGAAGCACCCTGAGCCTTGGCCCCCGCACTTGCAACAGTTTCTGTTTCCACTCTTAACGATGATGCTGCCGACGCTGGTGCCGCTGCTAGAGATGAGTTTGCCGGAGCTGCACTGGACAGAGAAGGCAGCTTGACACCATCTACCGGCACTGGCTGCAACGCAGGCAAGGCAGGTACTTCAGCTGAGCCTCGCTGCTGCTGCTGTTGGAGCTGCGGTGCCTGGTCCGCATAGCGTTGCTGTAGTTGAGTCAGCCGTTGTTGAATACGCGCAAGCGGCTGCACATAACTAACACTAGAAACGCTGCTGGGCCAGCAGCAAGAGGCCCCCATGAATCGCATTATATCTGATGGGTTGTTGCTGCCCCGACTGCTGCTGCGGGCAGTCGGTGCTCTAGCAAAGTGATGGCCACTGCGTGTACGTCTAAGAGGCGCTGTATTTCCCATGCTGCTACTCTTGCTGCTGCTGTTAGGCGTGCAAGTCGTACTGACACCAACCGAATCGCCATCTGCCTCGGCAGAAGCGGTGGCACCGTTGTCATCGTTCAATTTGCTTCGGCGTGGGTCCGCAACAGCTGCAGCAGCGAGTGCAGCCGCAACTGCCCCCGCACCCCCAGGCGTGTCCTTGGCTCCATCTGCAGGCAGTAGCAGGTATCGTAGAGGTGCTTTCGGCACAGAGAACGACTTAAAGGGAAGCCCCGTTGCATTTCGCTGATGCTGTAGACGCAGGTCTCCGTACACTCGAGTACAGCAACGACACCACTGAGTCCATCCATCTAATCCGAGTGCAGCAGCAGCTGCTGCAGCTGCTGCCAAGGGACACCCAGATTCTGCGCCTCCTCCCCTCAGGTTGCTGACAGCTGGGGGCCGTAGGGGGAGGCCACAATAGCAGCAAAGGGGAACCTGCCCACCGTTGCGCGTAGCTGACCCGTAGCCTCCAAAGCTGCAGCTGGTGCTGCCTTTAGGCCATGGCGTCCCAACAGTTGTTGCTGCTGCTTCCGCTGCTTCCACTATGTCCTCCTCTTCCCACGCAGCCTGTTGAGAGGCAAAAATTGCAGACCGAGAAGGAGACGAGGGACGGATGCAACTCAGCCCAGTGGGCACCTCCAGCTCGAGGGGCGATTCAAACCAAGAAGGGCACACAAGAATCCCATCCCCTGATCTCGCGTCTGACTGCTGTGCTTCAAAACCTGACCCTCCTGAACACTGTTGCTGCATCTGCTGCCGCTGCTGCCTGTCCCGCTTCGCTGCTGCTGATGCATGCACATCAAGGATGCTACGTGAGCTGCTTCCTCCACCTCCGCGGTTTGAGCCACCGAATGTTCCCTCAACAGTGCTAGCGTTGTTTGCTTTGCCACTCCAGTTAGTGTTGCAGGAAACGCAGCTTGCACCGCAGCAGCAACGGGGGGTGCTTCCTCGTATATCGAGCCAGTCTGCAAGACACGTCGTTCTCTCGTCAGCTTGGGGCCCCGTCTGTTGGTGCTGCTGCCCCACTACATAGCTCTGCAGGAGCTGCCGATGCGGCTGCCGCATGCGCCTCCTCCCTCCAGCAGCAGCGCCAGGTCCTGCAAAAGCTCCACCGCTGACTGTCATAGCAGCAGCTGGATTCCCTGGACCTGGCCCCGTTGCCGGCGCTGCTGTGTTTCCACCAAGAAGAGCCTCACCTGCTGTGGAACCGCAGCCCGCTGTCCCGGGAACCTGCGTCTTCCCTGAATTCGCTAGAAGGGCCTGGCGGAGGGACCGACGCGGTCCTCGGTAATCTAGAGATACAGCTGGAGTCGCTGAAGCAGCAGAAGAGGAATCATCTGCCGCAGCCTGGGGTGTTGCAGCACATGCTGGTCCTGCAGCGCCCGCGTCCGCTGCTACACGGCGAAGCCCTCTGCCGCAGCCACCTTCATCAGTTGCAGGCACAGGTGTTGCAACAGCACCAGCTTCCAGCACTGATCGCCCAGAACCCTTAGCTCCCCTTCCCCTGCACGAAGGAGAAACTTCACTGCAAACTGCTGGCTGGAGGGAGCTGCCACCATAGTTTCTGCAGGTGCGGTGTGCTTCGCGAGCGCCTGCATGTGTTTCAGCTGTGTCACGCTGCTGTTCTATGGGGCCAATGGCAGCACCAGACCTCGTAGACTTCGTACGCGCCCCACATACGCGGGATGATAGCGAAGCTTGTCTGCCGACATTTTGTCGAGTTAATGATGACCGTGTGATTGCCCCACGACCTGTCTGCGGTGAAGGAAATGCTCCGGCGGTGTTGTTGCTGCGAGCCACAGTCTCAGCCAGCGCAGATGGTAACAAGTGAGCTGGGGATGAAGGTTTGGAAGAAGACGCCGAGGCGGTGCCCTGGCCTGCTGAGGCGGCTGGTACATCAACCTTGCACGCCGCTGCGTCTGCCAACTGGTTGGGTTCAGTCAAGCCGCTCAAGGTTATTGCCTCTGGAACTGCAGGGTCACCGCTTGGTCCAGGGGCAGCCATGGTGGGTCCAACGATGACGGAAGCCGTTTTGTTGGGTAGTCTGTAGGACCCTGCGGTGGAGGTTGCTCGTCCAGCTGCAATCTGCGGGTGTCCGAGTTGCCCCACAACACCCCATGTGGCAGCTCGTTATAATATTCCTTACTTACACGCCTTGTATGATGAGGAGGGAAAAATAAGTCGACTGCAGCGGTGCCGCGGAAACAAAAGCTCCCGTAGGCAGCGCTTCCCCGAAAGATGAAAGGCAGGAAGTCGTGGGCTGATGCTGCCGCTGCTGGCCAACATGACAGGGAAAGTGGAGATGCAGACGATGCAGAAGTGTTGGAATTAATGAACACTTCGTAAAAGGGCCCCAAAGCCACAGATCTGCAGCTGCTACACCGCAGACCATTTAGCTGCAACAGTGGCAAATAGTCAGGACAGTACCACCCTATTCACTACACAAAATCACACGTGAAAAGCAACACATTCCACACCCACTGCAGGACCCAAATTCACGTGAAGGTGCCGCTGACGCTTAACAGTAGCCAAAAGCGAGCAGTCATTGCACGCCGATTGCACCTGTCTGAACACAATGGCACTGTGTTGGGGTCCATGTGCATAGAACTAACGCTCATACAAATACATGCATCAGCTAGTATTAACTGAAGTTCGGAAGGACAAACTAAGCCAGCACAGATCCTATATATTATTGCGGAAGGATTTTGTGCGACGCAGCTGCTGATAGCAACTGTTTGGTGCTAGCCTGCCTGTATGCAACATTATTTGGTCTCGGGAGATGTCGGGCTTCTGTAAATTATATTTTCTCTCGTCAAGTTGCTTTTCTTCCTCATTATTGGTGTTGGCATTAGTGTACGATGCCTAGTCACTGCGTCGCCTAGTCCGGCTGCAGGGGCACAGCTTTCTCCTTCGCATACATTTTGTAAGCACACAACCCTAATTTAATATATTTGGGCGTTTTTTTCTGTAACAAATCTTAATGTTTTGGCCCAAATTCTTCACTTGTTGACAACTCCGGATGGCTATTGTAGCTCGTTCCCCTGCCGTCTTAACAAATTTAGCAGGTGTAGTGCTGTAGCGTTGTAGCAGTTAGCGCAGAAGCTTCCACCTGGTTTTGGCACGTTGCGTGTAAACGACTGCAAACGTTCTACAAGTACGTTCAGAGGTAAAGCATGCAGCAAAGGAAACTTCGATGATGCTTCCCTGCGTGCACGCGTGAGGCTGGCTCGTACAACCAGCCGCAGCGGGATGCGCTGCAACCCTATTCCTGGCTGCCGCCTCTCCGCAATACTTAGGCCCTGAGCTCAATGCCCACGATGCCTAGGGACCGGGGAAGGAGGTCAGCTGCTTCCTGCTAAGTCTTTGCCTACATTGCGCCTCGCCTCTGGCCAGATACAGGCCAGAGAACAAGCGTTATAAGCGTGCTCTGGCTAACGTTGGTACGTGTATTCTTCTTGCTTCTAGGGTGACTACTGATTGTAAAGTAGGCATTTACCATTTGTCTACAACGTTACCCCATTCAGAGAGGGGCATTTGTCGAGCATGATTGTAGGGATGCCTGGCAGCATGATTTCCGGCAACTACTGCTCCAACCGATGAAAGGCTGCACTCTCCTCGCGCCAGCGCCTAAACCTTGTGCCGCTACTACTATGACGCCTGGAGAATGACGGGGAGGTAAGCTGCTTTGGTGGAGCTCCTAACTCAAGTGCTTCGACTCAGGGCAGCTCACGACGCTATTTGCCTACGTTCGAGGGCACTCGCCGGACTTGGTGCTGCCGCATTCTCAAGGCGGGCAGGCATAAGTAGCGAACTACACACTCCTACATCTGGGTGGTCTGGTATATAACACTGGCTAATCACAAGGGCGGAGTATGTCAAAGAGAGGCGAAAAAGAGTTTAGGTGCCTTCCCGACAACTATCATAAAAAATTCATCGCCTTCCTCTTCTCGCACAGTGGAGATTGATCAGAATATCAAATCATTTTTAGAGGAGATCAACAGCCGGGCGCCTGCAGAGCATCTGCATACTGTGCAGTAAACAAGGTCACACACTTGAAGAGTGCACTAGCATGTCACAGAGATGACAGCCGCAAGCGCAAACCCGTCGAGAGTCACTCATCTAGGTTTATATGAAGACAGCAATCCCAACATCAAGAAACGTAAACAGTGAATGGTATTCTCGCGTGCTAGAGAGACATCTGGAACTATTCATCTTTTTGTATATGCCAGAATTTTCTTTGTCCCCCTTCGGTGGATCAGCTGGAGCAGATAGGTGTGAACGAATTGAGAAATGCACTCTTCTTGCTGGGATCTGAGGCAGAACGAACTATGCGCGTATGTATCCAAGAAGCTCGAACACTTCTGTACACCGAAACAGCTGCATCTGAAGCAGCCGGCGCAGCGCGTATCAACAGTGCTGCAGTCGCTGGTGCACACACCCTCTCTCCAGAAGCAAATCATCCATTTGTGTAACCTTCCAGCTTCCACTGAGTGTGCCCAACAACCTGTACTGCTGCGGCCTAGCAAACCCGTTCATGCGCTCAAGCTGCGTACAGGCGAACTCTAGTTTGCACATGCGCATGCGAATCGTAGCTTTGAGCTTTTTCCAGCACGTAATGGAACATCAGGAAGCATATCAGCGAATTCTAATATCAAATATGGTGGTAGATCGTGTACCCAGCTTACTAGGTGGTTGGTCCAAGGCATGGGAAGCTTGTCTTCCACCGTGAGTCTTTAAAGGGGCTTAGTTGCGGCACACATGCACCAACCTACGCTCGCCACCGCAAAAGGTTGCTCGAAATTACTGGTTGAAGCTTGGAGTTTGGCTCTTAGGAGTGAGCCTTCCCCGTTTGCCATTCTCTTTCCCGAACGCGGGAGTTACATGCATTCCAGAACAAAGGCTAAAGCTCCACTACGGGTGGGTTCGGCGACGTGCATTGGGCATCTATCGGATGGCAAGCAAGCTGGAACCTCATTTTTTTTAACAAAGGTGAAAGCTCCTCTTCCAATTGAGCCCCCTCCCCCTGCTTGTAGTCAAATAAATCGAACTGCACATGTTCTAGATACTCATTAGAGGATCTAGAACATAGACAATGCACGGCATGGATTTCGCAGTACTTTGCACAGGCGCCTGCTCCCTAGTACAAGCTGCGCTACTCCTGTACTCTTGAGGGTCATTTCACTTGTTTTGCCGAAAAGGCTTAAAAAGCGAACATGCTTGCTGTTTCATGAATCGCTGAGTCCTACGCAGGAGTAGCAGAGCACGCAACAGGCACTGAAGGCCCTCCTGCAGATCGCGGAAGAAGGCAAGCGCATGATCCATGCAAATGATCATCCATGCTTCTGTTTTTTTTTTTCAAAAAGTCGTTGTTGACCTGTAGCAACAGTTCATCAGGTGCATTCACGAGCCCCAAATGCATACAGGCGCACTTGAGCTTGCAAGTGCGGGGTAAAAAAATCAGGGCAGCATTGCTAACCGGCAGTTTGCCGTGCTTGTCGCGCTGGAGTGAGGAATGCTTCTCCATGGAAATGGACGTGAGCGCGGATTGATATTTATTGAGTAAGTACTTGATGAGTGTAATAGTCATTGTTTACTAAAAGTGGTGTATTGGTATGACTGCATGAAATACTGGCAGGAGACTCAGTGCAAACGGAAGTTGCAACCTGGCAGGCCGCCGCCTCTCCCAGCTCGTAGAACCGTATTGCCGGGACAACTGGGGATGGGGGCAGAACAAATTTGGGGCAGAAAAACCAACAAAGCTTAAGGAGAGTTTTCTTGTTCTGCTTTCGTGCTGAAAGAGAGCGTATGTCTGAGTTTCTGTAGCTCAGTGAAGTTATTTGAGGTTGGCAGTCAGGTTGTGCTCGCCAGCCCGTCATACCCGAGATTGAGGATTGAGGGATGTGTCCGACAAAGAACCGGAGGAGGAAATGCCTACTGTTCCGTCACGCTTAATGAAATACTGTATCAAAGTGTACCTTTTCTTTATTAACGTTTACTAAACAAGGTATAACAAGAGATGGAGTGACGGTTCACGCAACATCAGCTTCCTTGACGCTCAGTTCCTCCACCCCATTGCGTGAAAGGACCCGGATTCCTACCAGATATCACAGTTGGGCTTTGTCTGCGTTTCTGTTATCGTTGGGGGTACAAAACGCAGAGCTGCGGATACCGTCTTTTGCATCCACTTATGAGGGTGAGGTCAAGTTCCGAGGGCCCTATGATCACTAAGGCCCCAAACTCTCCTTTAGTGGTCTGTTATAGCGGAGTTGCGACTCTGCGGTCTTACACTGTCTTCAGGATGTATTGGGATTTGGAAAAACGCCTTGTTGAAGGAAAATGATGAATACACTGCTGAGCACGGCATTCCGCCTAGAAGTTACTAGAATCCAGACACGGGGAACTTCTTTTGCACTGTGACGTTTAGCGGTTTGATGCTCATAGACATGCGCCACCTCCCATCGTGTTTCTTTGCCAAGACTAGATTGTGCCCAAGTGCGCTAGTTAAAAATTGATCATTGCCTTTTCTTATCAATTCATCTGCCTGCCGGTAAATTTACGCTTCAAGGTTTGGAGGTCGCTGGTACCTTAGGACAAAGCTTGAGGCTGCTCCGGGAATGAGTTCCTTGCGGTGCATACTGCAGTGTCCGTAGGGTCATTGCAACCCAGGGCATGCACTCCTCCATGGCATGTTGCAGTGGCTCTGCAGTACGTATGGGCGTCCTCGTTCCTGTTTCCTGGGGACGCCGCTTCCACACCTCTTACCGTAGAGGATGCAAATGCTGTTTGAGGTGCCGCGAGGGGCACCTTCTAATTGCTTCTTGGCAGATCGACTTCAATGGTGGCAACAGGAAGGGTCATCGGTGCCGTCCACTGGGTCACCCGCGGCACGTCGAAGTGATGAACTGGTCCAACGTAACAGTCCTGTATAGCTGCAGTATACGCGATTTCGAAGTTAAGATCACATTTTACGCCCATGGTGTTGCTAACTTTCGTGTTCTGCCTTTCGTCCCCAACACGCAGTCTCAGAAACCGTGCCAGTGATTATTCACTGAGGTTATACCTCTAGTGAATACCCACTAGAATCATGACAACATTGCAGCGCTCGTTGTGCAAAAGTGAGGGCTGATTGAACAATGGAAATTCGCGTGAGTCATAATGGTGTTTATTGAGTAAATACTTGATGAATGTACTAGATATTGCTTACAAAGGGTCGCATTCTTATGAGTTTAGGTAAGGCCGGATGAGTTTAGGTAAGGCCGGCATGAGGCTCGCTGCAAAAGGTGTTGAAGCACGGCACGCCGTCCCCTATCTCATCCCCTAAGGTTGCAGGGCCACCTCTAGTGGGGATACGAGGAGAACAATTTAGAGAGAAGAAAACAAGGGAAGAGAATTTTTTTTAAGTTTTGTTAGCTTTGTTATTTCGCTGAATCGGATGGGACGTTTCAGTATCTGTAACGTGAACGAATCTCTGCATAACACGTGAGGGATTGAGGACTCAGCCCACACATCATCAGCTTCCTGGGCCTCCAGATTCTCCATTGTTATGAATGCACAACACTCCATCGTGCGAGGGAACTCAGATCCCTACTAGATCTCACAGTTGGGTCTTTGTCTGCGTTTGTGTTGCCGTTGAGGGCACAAGACGCAGAGCTGTAGAGATTGTTTGGTGCACCCACTGACGACAATGTGGTCAAGTGCCAAGGGCCCTAGGATCCCAAAAGCCCCAAACTCCCTTTAGTTGGCCCGTTGTAAGGGAGATGCTCACAATACGTCCTTGGTGTGGCTCCCGATGTTAGATCGGCTTTGCGTCCCCTATCAACCAGCGTTAGTAACTCCCAACAATGAATACGAAAATGTATAAGCGCACAGCTGACTCAAGTTGGTTCAATTGTCCCGCTGTTATCTATTTGGGCCCCTCCACTGTGCTACATGTTGAGTGGGGGCCGAAGAATTTCCCTGATCATTTGGTTTGCTCCCCTGGTGGCGCTGCTCGAAGTATAACATTTCTAGTCCCCTGGATCTGTTCATGTGTCTGCTACCTCGAAGGGTATGGCAATGTTTGTTGCGAAACGATCTGATAAGCCGTTCGGCACGTCATTCGGGCTTTCTTGGTGTCAAATCCGCTGGCTGCTGCCGCTTCTACTCACCTCTGGACAGGTGTGACCCAGTACCCAAATATGGGCAATTCACAATCCCACTTTCTTCCTTTTATGCAAATATTTTCCATTATCCCGGAGTTACCAACCCCTTCATCACTCTATTCCATCACCACGGCCGCACGCAAGTAGGAATACACAATCCAACTTCACACACACAATGCTGCAGCTTAGCCAGTCCGCACGCAAGTAGGAATACACAATCCAACTTCACACAGACAATGCTGCAGCTGAGACCCCTCTAGTGTCACCAGGCACCTTGGTCGCAGAGGAGCAGGGCTTGGGTTTGCAGAAGAGGAAACGGGCTGAGATGAGTTGCAGAACGCCTGGTTGCAATTAATGATGCTAGACAGCCCCACATACAAGCATGCCCACGCCTTCTTTGCCGCGCCGCACGCACTGCCTCTGTAGACGCTTGCTACATTTGTTCTTGCTATCAGACAGCCTAAAAGGGCCAACTGAATGCTCCTTTGCAAGATTCGGAGATGCTATGCTAGACTTAACGATGTACGTAGCAAGCTCACGAAGAGATTGCTACACCACACCTCACCTGAACTGCAGCATTAGCCTCTGTGACGTCTACATTCGGGAGAAGATCACATGCAACGCTGGCGACGACCGTTTTTAATGCATCCATTAAAACCGTCGTGTAACGAGAGCCGTCGGCCTTATTCAAGGCCTTTGCCAGCTGCAATTGCCACGAACTGCTTCAGACGCGTGTTACCTGAAAGCAGCTGAGCTCCCTTCCTTGTCTCTAGGCTTCCTGTACGCAGAGCCTCGTGCCTGGAGTTCCGGGATCGGAGGTGGCCTGAGATGAGCCTCGGCGCACCTCGCTGCAACTAATGATGCAAGGGGGGCACAGTCAGGCTTCTTTGCTGCATATATCCCTTAAGACACTTGTTGAGCATTTGTATTTGCTTTTAGGCAGCCTCTCAAGGCCAAACGAATGTCCCTGTGCTAACTTTGAACAGACAACGCTACACGTAGAGAACGGTCATACACTTGCTAGGCTTCGGCCGACGTGGATGCAAAATTAGATTGGCCCGACACCCTATAAATACATTCACATTTACAGAAGCTAAACCATACGCATTGATGGATTGGTGTCTTCTAATGCCAGTCTTGCGTTTAGCGCATACTGTGGAGTGTCAGCAAGAAGGGATGCTTGTGGCGGTGTCTCCTTTTGCTTACTACACCAACGACAACAGTGTAAAACAGTAAAATTACCCATCACCTGAATATAAGTGTTAGCTAATAAGATTAAGACATGGTTTCACTTAGGAAATGAGAATTTTTTGTGTAAAAAGAACCACTGTGTTGCGCGCTGTTCTGCACCTGTTGGTGGGGCAGTCACGCGAAATCTCTCGGACCACGCGTGGGGAGGTACATGCTGGCAAGCAGCACGGTATCCGGCAAATTCTCCGGGGTTTGACCTCACGCACACTGATTTGTAAATTGACATTTCGATCAATTACAGTCTCTTCGGCTCCCTCCTCACATTCAAAGACAAAATGGCGTTCGGAGCGTCGGGAACTACACTGTGCGGGGCGAGGCACACACAGCGTCTAAAAAACCTCAATTTCTCGGTGCGATTCCTGCTAATAGCTGCTCTAATAGCTGTACCCGTGGCTGTTTCAAACTCGGAAGAGATATTTGATGTTGTCGCCGAGCCTACTGCTGAACCAGAAGTCATGGGTACGGAACTTGCAGAGACCGAAGCTCGTGTCGAGATGCGACCTCCAGCAATTAAACAAGCTAAACCACTTCCAGTAGCTCCAGCAGTTCCAGAGGTTTCACCAGAACAAGAACAACCAGATGCTGCTCCACTTGAGGAAGCATCTCGTGAGAGGAGCTCCCTTGCTGCAGTGTACAATGCGTCGACCGCGCAGCAAAGCCCTTCCGAGGAGGCTAATGGAGCCCAAGCTGGAGTGCTCAAAAGAAGAGCACAACTGATTGGACTGGCAATTCTGCTGTCTCTCGGCATTTTCCTTCTCAGAGCGAAAGTACGTCTCTCTTAGCGGATCTGCAGCGCCTCACTCGCATGTCTTTTAGGTTAGGTATGCTCACGTGCGTTCCTGCTGGAAACTTGTTATGCTCGTTCCTTTCCGCTAACTGAGTATGGTTTTAGTAGGAGGTGTCTCACCCCTCTTAAGCGAAGGTGTGAGCGCACTCACGTCTTGCGTCGTGCGTGCTTGTGCACTTTATGCACGGAACAGTCCTCGTTGACATCAGGCAGTATGTTTGCGCAACGGGCTAATAGATGGCAGCAGGAACCTTCAAGCATGCTTGGATGAGTGTTAACACATGTGGAACTCTTTGCTGTTCACCGGGTATCGGGAATAAATCCTTTCAGCCTTCAATAACCCTAGATAATCGTTCTGTCTTTGCAGCCCCCCGTTTCTTGTTGTAATGGCTTTTCCTTTGGCGTGTCTTATGCAAAGCATGAACACCCAGAGCATTGCATTGGCAAGTGCAAAGCGTTTTTCCGTTTCGGCACCAGAAATCGTTCACTTTACCGCGTGATTTGCAGAGAGTGAACTGTAAGCTGCTGCATAGCAATGGCTGTCTGGAGTTTGTCATTGCGAACGCACAGCTTGTATTTTACTGCTTGCATACTCTAGCATCCCCAAATACGAGCTCCGTAGCAGGAGACTGTGGAAAGCAGTGTGACAAGCCAGGAACAAGCTTGCTGATTTGTAGAACAACAGAAGATCAACGGAAATGAGGGGTCTTTTGGTAGAGAGTGCGCTAACATGACGCTTGCGAGCAAATGCAGGGAGTCTCATGATGGCTCTGGCCAGCTTCTGGTCTTCCCAGTTTAGTTGACACCTTTGCAATGATCGAAGCTATATGTGTAGATGAAAATGTATACACTGTGTCCTACTTTTTGCAAAATGCAGACCGTTATACACCTCAGCAGCTTTGTTAGCTGCTGAGGTGATCAGCATGCAGTAAGATGTAGAAGGTATTTCAGAGTCACTGCTCATCTGGTGTCTGGCTGTTTGCTGCTTGTTTAGATGGCTTAGTGCTCATGTGTACTGCTCGGGTCGGCGTACCCATACAGCACACACACCACACTGACAACTGCAGATGGGGTTGGAAACAGGATGTGGCGCCTAGCAAATATGACTTCTGGACTTACTCAGGGAGTGAGCTATACTTGTTTATTCACGCAACAGTGGCCTTCTAGGGCTGGTCATTGCGTATACAGGCCTCGTAACGTACAGCTTCCAATCTCTAGAATGTCGAACTACGAGCGCCGTAACCTTGGCCGATTGAGGAAAGTGATTATGGCAGCCCAGCAACAGGCTTGTTGATTTGCAGCGGAAAGTGATATCATGCGTACGGCATATTTTTCGGAAATAGAAGGTGCGCTAGCGCCTAGCTGGCGTGCAGAGTCCAGGAAGCCTCGACGAGTCTCCGGCCAGCTAAGCGTTTCAGTTTATTTGGCCCGTTTTCGGCGATCGCAGCTGTTTGTGCGGATGAAAGTGCACATATTGGGTTATGTGTTCTCCAAGGTGCACGCCGAGCTATAGCTGCTCTACTTCGTTAGCTGCTGATGTGACCAGTCTGCTCTATGGTGGAGAAGGTATTTCGGGCCTTCTGTTCCTCTGGCGTCTGGCCTTTCGTGTTTTGTTCAGATGGTTTCGTGCCAATGTATAAACCGGCGATCTTCGCTCTTACTCGCAGGGCTGCCGCTGGTCACATGCACACCAACGCAAACACACGCAGATGAGTGCATTAACAAGTACAGAGCTGTTGTTCATTTCACCAAAGAGCTTTGCTTCCCTTGCTGCATGATTTGCACACTATTGAGCTCCAACGAGTAGGAAATCCAACCTCCGGATGGGGCTGGAAGATGAATGTGTCTTCCCGTAGAGGGTTTAGCTTCTGAATGTACTCAGGGAGTGAGCTATACTTATCTGTTCGCTCAACGGTGGCCTTCTAGGGTAGGTCACTGCGTATACAGACCTCGTAATGTACAGCTCCCAACCTCTAGAATGTCGAACTGCGAGCGCCGTAACCTTGGCCGACTGCGGAAAGTGATTATGGCAGCCCAGAAACAGGCTTGTTGATTTGCAGCGGAAAGTGGGATCATGCGTACGGCATATTTTTCGGAAAAAGAAGGTGCGCTAGCGCCTAGCTGGCGTGCACAGTCCACGTTAGCTGCTGATGTGACCAGTCTGCTCTATGTTGGAGAAGGCATATCAGGCCTACGGTTCATCTGATGTTTGCGGTTGCGTTAGCGGCTTTGCGCCAATGTCTGCGCCGGCGGTATTTGCTCTTACCCGTAAGCTTATCGTTGGTCAGAACAGGTACAAAGGACTAGATTTTGTTGCGCAAAAGTGATTTAGCGCGCTGCAGAACAAGCTGGCTCATATTTTTCTTTTGTCATGTTCCTTGTTGAGCGAACCACGTTCACTTTTGCCGCCAGATTCAGCGTCTTTGTGCAGCCGTATTTCCACAAAGGATTTCTGAGGTATCCTCTTGCGCCACTTGCCTTTTGTGCTGCGCTAATTGCTGCGCACAGGCGGTAAGCTTGCCGCTGAGCTTCTTGGAACAGAATTATGAAAAAGGAGGCCTCCGGCCGTTCTATTGGTTGAGGACCTGCTACGACTGTTCCAGATGCTGCCACGCTTGAGGAATACTTTAGCAGTTGCCAAACATCACACGGTCTTCGCCCACGGAGCACGAAAGTAGTGTTTCACCCGGACGTGTGTTACCTAATTGCATGCTGGGTATATTGGCATTGCTATTTCATTACAGAGGGATCTGCCGGGAACGTCCACTGCCAGTGACAACATCAACCATTGGACAGTTACGGGTTGTGCACAGCGGCTTGCACTGATGGTTAGCATTTCACACGTTAAGTGTCACTCTAACCGAGATACAGGGCAATTCTTGGATAGATGGTGAGATTCAAACGCGTGCACCCACCTGCAACGGGCAGTATATATTCCTACTCCGAAAACATCGATTGCTTCAACTCCTATGTGTACGCTAGATAGGACGCAACAATAGTCGCCCCTTCTGCGAGGCCATGGTTCTTTATGTTGGAGTTCTTGATATGCACTTTACGCTGCCTATAAGGCATAGTGGATAGTCCGTAGGTGCTCATATGTCGTACTTCAGGTAGCCGCTGGTTCTCCGCCGGCTTCTAATTGACTACAGAAAGTACTTCGGACACCACGTATAGGGTTTAACTGATGGTTAGAGTCGCGCAGATGAATGCAATTGCGTCTTGAACGCTCACCTGCTCATACGTGTTTTTATGCTGCTTAATGATTGGGGGGGAGCTAAGGCGCTGGTTCTTTCTGTAGCAGTTAAGGAGTTTTCTTTGAGCACGAAAGGTAATTACGCGGCATATGCGTAGCGTTTCGTGTCCGGTCTTAGCGTTGCTAGCGGTATGCGTAAACGCGTTGCTTGTGGGAGTGGACTTAGCTGACCGTTTTATCACCGGAGTTTGCGCGTTGCTCTTCAATGCCGTCCAGGCACTTCATGTTCGGTAGGCTTTTGCTGAACGAGACTATTCTGCTTCGCTTTATGCGCCTTGCCAATCTTTGGAAACAGACCATCTTGACGGTAGGGACATGGAGTGCAAGGATTTGGCCCCAACATTGTACAGATTGTTAGTTCCTAAATATTTAAGCGAATTTCCTGCGATTATTCTTATTGTCTACGCTTGGCAAGACATAGCTTCGAGGAACTACCTTTTATCCGCATGAGCAGCGAACATCAGGTGCTTAAAGAAATCATGTAGGCGCTTTCCACGTCGAGTGTCGGAGTATCAGCGGCTCGGACATAGACTGCAGGATGCGTTCACCTTCCTTTTGTTTGAACGTTGCCCTATACGGAACGCAGGCCGTACGTATTCCCCGCAGCCCCTGTGCTTGCAGAGAGAAAGTAGCTTTTGCGTCTGCATCTACCTCGCACGGCAGACTTGGTTGGGTGTTGCCACCTTTCGCACGGAAATTTTTTAATTATGGTGTGTTACGCATTTCGGCATCGGGGATGAAAGTCGTGACATGGTTATGACGCGACGGCTCGACTTTGGAGTTGCAAGGCAGCGGGTTGTTTCTGGTTCTTTGGACTGTAGGAGGTGCGTTGGACCTGCCTGTTGCCAGCTTATCGTTTTGGCAGTTCCCAAAAATGTAGGTGTTGCGACGAGGAGGTTCTTACCAACTGGCGGAAGCAGTAGCTTAAGTGGGGCGCCACAGTGCTCGCTGATCCGTGGTCGTGTTGGATTGGCGCGAAGCTTGTGCGTTGACTTGCGCTCAGCCGAATATGTTCTGGAGAAGGCTTGCTGCAAACGGCAGAATTACAATACTTTCAAGCTGTCGTAGATCAGGATGTACACTGTTGATTGCAGATGGTGAAAAAGTTATGCTGATGTTCTTTCTGTGGTCTCCAAACCGCGTGTTCAAGACATCAGTCATATTGGGCAACGACCACGGAGCACAGCGGGTGTTCACTTGTATGTGCACGCTGAGTTGCACTACGCTTCACACACAGGAAGTGGGTTTGCTCCTACATGCAAGTGGAAGCGGCACAGTGCATTTGCTGCGGAGCACGGGCGTGCAGAGTGCAATCTGCTCGTGTTCATTCGTCGTGTAACGATGCCTTCCTCTTTATAATGTTATGGGTCACCTACATTCCAGAACGTACGGCGCTTTCTAAGTATTCTGGCCTCTAGTGAAGCATGTGGCTCCTATAGGAAATTTGCGGGATACACAGGTATAAATGCTCGCCATACTCGTCAGCAGCTCCCATGTCGCAAAGCTGGAATAGTATATTATCTAAGGTGTGTGGAATCTTTTCTGTGGTATGCGATTGTGGCTAACATTAGGCCGTTGGGAACGCTGTTCTCTTGGGAAGCAGACCGTGGGTTCCTTGTTCTTTTGGTTAATGATGTCGGCGGGGCGCAGGTAGAGTCATGCAAACCAAGGTCTGCGTGCGCTTTTAGCTCCGTGATCGCGGTGGTCTTTTGCCCTATGTTCATTCGTGTTGCAGAATGTGC